TTGGATTATCTTGATAAACAGTGATTGTAGAAGAAATGTTTTTTGTTGCTGATTTAATTTCCAACAAAAAATGTATTTTTACATTATCGCCAAAAATGACTCCTTACTAAAATAATCCGGCTTATAAAAATATATGAAAAATGATCTTATCTACTTTTGCCACTTGGCTACCGGGACGATTACGATTCCTTTGGCGCCACAGTTCGACACATGTTTTCCGTACCATTTTTCCTCAGGATTACGGGAAAAATAATGAAAAAATTCTATTTCAATTATTTATTCCAAAATTTTACGTATTTTGATATAATTTTAATGATTAGCTTAGAATCTTGGGGTCTTGGTGTTAGGGGAGATTAGGAGGGGGGAGGGGGGATCATAGATGTAATTTTTGCGATATTGTGGTCTACTGAAAACGGAAAAGGATCCTAAGTTTAACGCAAAATTAATTTTCCAAACAGTCATAATTAGTGCCGTAACAGCCTCCCTGAAAGACATTAAAGAAATGTTCTTCTTTTTTTTTGTTTCACTTTTTATATNCCGCCCCTGGACCCCGCCAGGGGCGCTACGCCCCCTGGACCCCCACTGTTGTTACCGCAAAGGTTGAAATAATCATTGTTAAAACCAACAAAAATTTGAACAAAGAAAGGTTTAGATATAGACTTCGACTTTCTGACTTTCTACATGGTTTACAAGCGAAATTGTAACATTTTATATATGGATAATTACAATAATTCGGAATCAAAATTGAATCATTGAAAAAATACGGGATTTCGGTTAATGTCGATGGATGAAGCTCAACAATACTTATATGAAAAAAACAATAAATTTTTGGATTTCCAGAATCATAATGGGTTGACATTATGCTGAAAAATCGAAGTAAAAATCGAAGCAAATCGAACATAAAAAAAAGTTCAAGGTTGGATTTCAGTGAAAATCAAATCAAACTTTGAACTTTTGAGCAGCAGGGGAATGAAAACTGAAACTGAATTCAATTTCTAGTCAACACATACATAGTCAGTACTGAATCTTCAATCAATTTAAAATTTACAATATAAATTAATTTGAGTTTTTCAAAAACTAAAAATGCTTATATCTCGTGATTTTATGGAGAGGGAATTTTTTCATTATTTTTCCCGTATTCCTGAGGAAAAATTGTACGGAGAACATGTGTCGTACTGTGGCGCCAAAGGAATCGTAATCATCCCCGGCGGTCATCCAAGCTAAGCAGCGTTCAGTCTGCCCAGTACTTGGATGGGTGTCCGCTTAGGCACACCTAACCGCCTGGGACTACAGTCGCTAGGCATGAATGTATAGAACCACTGTGCCCATTGAGTCCGTGTGACCAGTGGACACAGTGGAATCCCTGCATTATCGGCTGACTGCACGATTGAGGTTTTCCATGGTTTCCCTGGCAGTCCAATCCCGAATGGGGTGCAGTTGGGGATAAAGTAAGTCGGCCCATGGTAACGCAGATAGGGAAGGGAACAAAATGTAAAAACCCGAGAGGGTATACATATGGAACCAAAAAAATATAATTAATATATTCCTTCAATTGTTCAATTACAGGGAGACCGAAAGTGGCGGACTTAGAATCTGCTTTTGCTGCGGTGTGTCAGTATATGGAGGACAGTGACGATTGCCAATTCACTATGAGTGAATTACTTGGTATAATAGAAGGATATATACCGAAAATGCAAACATTGAAGCAAAAATTGATCAATAAATATTGCAATGATATTTTATTCATTGAAAACCCAGGAAAGTCTGAGATCGTATGTTTTCGCAACACGGGCTACAAGATTTTGATTGACGCCTGGTATCAAAAGAAGGCAACGAATCCAGTAGAGGAACGGATGCGAATAGTCTCTGCCGCAGCTGACATTATAAGAGAAGATATTAGGAGCAAAATTTATGAGACTTCGTCATATCCAGCACCTGATGAATTATTTCACAGTGTAGAGGAGGATATTCCGGAGACTCTCCAGAGCTTTCTGGATAGCGTTCTACGGAAAGGGAGGAAAAATAAAGAGGACAAAATAATGGCGAAACGTGACAGCATCGCCCATGCCATAATCTCAGCCGTACGTCCACGATCATTCTGTTCATCGATCCAATTAGCGACAGGAGTATATTTTTCAAGAAAATTTGGTTCTCGCCTGATCATTGACGTTCTCAACAGCTTGGGTTTTTGTGCCTCATACACCAACGTCAGCTTATACGAAGCATCGGCCATCATGAGCAGTGACAAAAAAATCAACGAAAATGCCCATATCCAGTACGTGTTCGACAGCGCTGACCATAATATCTGCAGTCTCGATGGTTTCAACACTTTCCACTGCATGGGTGGGATTTGCTGTGTCACTCCGAAGTCTGGGGTTAGTCACCAAGGACGAATGATGAAGTTAGCACGTCTACCAAAGGCTGGAGAATTAGCGTCAAAAATCAATGTCCCCGTGATATCGTGGAATCAGTTTAGAGAAGATCAAATGGGCCTGAAGACAATAACATTTCTGGATGTGGCCAGGCTTGACTTGGGACAGCGTGCACAATTACCAATAGCGTATTCCGTTCATATTCTGCCTAAATCATTAAATATTCCCAACATTGCCAGTTGGAGAGGCTATATGGAGACCATTAGCCACAATGAGCAGTACAATGTTTCTCAGGTGTTCTGTCTGCCGTTTGTGGCCTTGCCACCATCAAATATGGGTACCATCAACACCGTTCTACATTCTACTGCTATGGAGTGCTTGCGACACAATCAGAAAACTGCTTTCGTGACCTTCGATCAACCCCTCTATATGAAAGCAAGAGAAATTGTTGCAAATGACAATAATCTCCTGACCGATGTAGTTGTGAGATTGGGAGGATTTCATCTCCTGATGTCATTCCTTGGATGTGTTGGAACAATTATGGATGGCAGTGGATTGAAGGAGTTATTGTCTGTAGTTTATGCAGACAATACAACAGATGACATGCTCACCGGCCATGCCTTCAGCAGAGCAGTGAGAGGTCACCTGCTCATTTATACTGCACTGGGTGCTATCATTACTAGGCATACGAAGAATTTTGATGATCAGGATCGTGAGTATGTCACAAATTTTCAAAGACTTCTCATTACAACCACCAACGTTAGAAGAATTGAACCAAGACGAGCAATTGATGGATATCACGACAAAGATTCAGGTAACATTAGAGGCTCTTGCAGAGGTTGGACGCACGTCTAGGCTATGGCTCGAGTATTTTCACTCCATCACTTTGCTCATGCAGTTCATTGAAGCAGAACGGTTGGGAAACTGGTCACTTCATCTTCAATGTGTACGGGATATGCTGCCTCTGTTCCATGCTGCTGGTCACTTGGCTTACGCCAAGTCTGCTCAAATATACCTCCAGGATATGTCACAGTTACAAAGCAGGATGTCTCCAGATGAGTATGAGAAATTCACAACGCAAGGTCAGTTCACTATTCGACGTAGTAATAAAAAATGGGCTGGCGTCTGGACAGACATGACAATAGAGCAAACACTCATGCGTGCCATGAAAATTTCTGGGGGACTCACTCAAGGTCGGGGAATGAACAAAGATGGAGCGATAGCCAGGTGGATACTGGCCATGCCAACTGCCTACGAAGTGATGGAGGGCTTTGAAATTTTCTCTGGAGTGAAATCGGCCAGTGGAGAACAGCATAAGGACCTGAGACCAACAAATATAAAACGTGATACAGAGGATTGTCTTAAATTCGTTGAGTGGCTGACTATGCATAATCCCTTTGATGCAGCTGAACCCGATAGACTGATGTCCATCGCAGATGGATTGTGTGCTGGACCTGACGTGAACTGTGATAGAGCAATTGAAATTGGACCAGCTTCAATGAATGCAATCATTGGAGCCAATGTCGCAGATGTAAAGATGAAGCGTTCAGCCCGTGTGAAATCGATTGCTACAACAAAACGTGGGATTGTTATCAACAATCAAGTTGTCACAGTCAACACTACTCTGCTCTTCCAACGAATAACAGCTGTCACTAAAAACGATTGTGATCTGGCTACTGTAGCTTTACATCATGAGCTGGCACCATTCCCTCTTTCACTGTTCGACAACGAGGGTTTCATGAGACATTCAGCCAAGTCAGATCTGTACAACGCATTTACATGTCATTCAAGGGCTGGCATCAACCTAGCTGAATGTAAAACTATTATCGACGGAGGTTTTCTGCTTCATAAAGTAGTCTGGCCTCTCGGCAGCACGTATCAACAAGTCCTCGAACTTTATCAAGATTATATCATTGGAAATCATGGTATGAATGTGATAGTTGTCTTCGGTGGCTACAAGGAAACCAACGTGGGAATAAAATCTTATGAGAGATCTAGACCCTCGAGGTTCAGGAAGACCACAGAAGTTATTTTTGAAAAGGACATGGCTGTCACCTTAACACAATCAACGTTCTTGTCCAATGTTCAAAATAAGGGCAGACTCATTGACTTCTTGAAAATTCAACTCATGAGTGCTGGAATTGTTGTGGAACAAGGCATTGAGGATGCTGATCGTTTAATTGCAAGAACAGCTGTTGAGCAGCTCAATTTTCATGAAAAAGTTGTAGTTGTTAGTCAAGATGTTGACCTGCTAGTGTTGCTAATTACTTCGACTCCGGCTGAACGAGATATTCTTTTCTTTAAACAAGGTAGTGGCAAAGTTCCCAGTACGATGTACTCAACTCAAGAGCACCAACATCTCAAGGAAACAATACTCTTCTGTCATGCTTTCACAGGTTGTGACACCACGAATTCTATGAGTGGAAAAGGAAAAATGTCTTGTTGGAATATTCTCCAGAAGCGGAAACAGTTAGCGAACGATGCCGCTGTTTTCAACAACCCACATGCTACAAGGGAAAACATCAAGCAAGTAACTGAGCGGGTTATGCTTGCTCTCTATCGTGCTAAAGAGAGAGAAACATCTATCAATAATTACCGATATGAACGTTTTGTGTTCTCAACTGCACGAGCCAGAACACAAGTTAATTTATCCAGCCTCCCACCAACAATTGGAGCTACTGAGGAACATGGACGCCGCGTTTATCTTCAAGTTCAATTATGGTTGGGGAATGATGAGCTCAATCCGGAGGACTGGGGTTGGAAACTGATTGATCAAGTATTCTGCCCCATCATGACAAGGATACCACCTGCTCCAGATTCGATCTTGGAAATGATATCCTGTTCATGTAAAGGAAACTGTACAACCCGATGTGGATGCAGAAAAGCCGGGCTCAAGTGCTCCAGCATCTGCTCAAGGTGTCAGGGCAATGCCTGTCTGAATACCAGGGAAATCGATGTATCCAGTGACATATCAGAGATTTCCAGCGATTCTGCTGAAGAATTTCTGGATCAATTCGAGTCTATCATTGGTGCACACATGGAAGAAACTTTCAATGACAACGAGAACGAGTTATCCTCTCAGTCTCCACTGAACGACAGTTCAGTTATATTTGCTGAGGAATGTGAAGACACACCGAGCTGCAGTGAGGTTACTGCTCCTAAAAAACCACGTTTAAAATAGAAAAAAAGGTAAATTATTTGGATAATCATTCGTAGCTCATATAAATGTGCTAGCCGAATAAACAATTTAATATATCTTTTATTCCGTTGCAGCTTTTATTCACATTCTTGAACACCGACAACTACAGCAGAGGAAAACAGCAATGACCTTCTCCAACTAAATTATTATAATAAATGATGAATTAAATCATTGATAGTATTTGATTGAGTTGCGCGCGCCGAAAAGGGGCCGGTCTCGGAGTCTCATGTTATTATTGAGCGTAATGTGAGGTTGAAGAATTTCAGCATTTTTTTTCGTGGTAATTATTTATCTTCGAACATTATTTTTTAGTGCCATTTTGTAGAGAAATTCTTTCTCTTTAAATTGATATTTTTTGTTCGTCTATTGAATGCGTTATAGTTATACGGTTGAAGTTCTTAGCATGACGCCATAAAAAGTCGATAGTTTTTAATTAATTTGAATTTCAGACGGATGAAATGATGTTTAAACATTTGGATATGTTGTGCAGGACCATCACACCATACTTCCATCAGCCAGATTGACTAGATGTGTGAATAGGGGAATTACAAAGGATTGAGCTTCATGCAAGTTCCCTATCCCCCTCCCCCTCTATGACCGTCGTATAATGCGTAAAGTTCCATTTTTTCCCACGCATGTGTAACATATCTTTTCAGATATGTTACACATGCGTGCAACATATCTTGCACATGCGTGTAACATATTTTTTCTGGTACGTGCCGAGTTCCCTGTTCGGAACGCTAGTGGGGGTAATGTGGTTGTTTTTGTGCACGAATGCATAAAGTTCAAGAGCGTGCGTAAAGTAGATTTCGGGTGAGATAATTCACTTTATGTCATTAGGTCCGATAAACCGCGATTCTAACTGAGCGAAGCGGTTTTCGGGCCCAACGACATAAAATAGCGTATATCACACGGCGATAAAAGAATGATCTGGCGAATGTGGCTTTATAATACTTTTTCATCACGCTGTGACGAAAAGTGGAATTTTAATTTCCGCCACATTGTGATGAAAAATATTGTTCGTAGCTCGTGAAAAAATGTTTAAAAAAAAAAACACTTTTTTGCACTCGTTACGAAATATACTATTATCGCCTGATGACATAATATACTATTACGCACGCCGTACGGAAAACAACCGCTTTACGTACACTAAACCGTTTCGAAATAGTACATTTCGATACTAGGACGCATGAAAAATTTTCTGGCGAATATGAGTTTGCAGCACGAGCCGAAAGCGAGTGATGCAAATCATATGAATCAGGAAATTTTTATGCGCCCGTGTGTCGAACAATATTTTTTGTCACGAGGGTCCGTAGGGAGTGTTTTAGGCAGGTGCCATACGCCTAAAACGCTGCCTTACGACCAGAGTGACAAAAAGTGAACTTTTGAGGCAGATATCACAAAAAGAGTAATAAGAAAAGGAAATAAAATCTTTGGTTTCCTTCGTATCTGTGGGTGAAAGAAAGGCGCTTGATTAATGATGGGGTATCTTTCAGATGGGTCAGAAGTTCATGGCAGGCGCTGTGACCCCACGCGCTGTCCAGGGCAACGTCTTACCTGAGCACATAAGACAGTACTTCATGAAGGACGATGGACAAATCCTCGTCCACGGGCTCTACACTGACTCTGCGAATTCTCTGGCTCGTGAGGCAGCATACAAAATATTTTTACACCCTGACAATCAGCAGGAGTACCTCCTCAAGGAGCTGCTGAACGCCAGACACCGGCTGGCGATAGTCTGCGGATTCCCCACGTACGCCCACAGGGCGATCAAGGGGAGCACAGTGGAGACCCCAGAAGTCGTCTGTGATTTTCTAGGGATCATGAATGAGGAGTTGAGGGAGCGGGCTCAGAGGGACTTCGATGTCATGAGGGAGATGAAGAGGAAGGAGTCGTCAAACAGTCAGGACGTCATGCCCTGGGACACGACTTATTTCAGTTCCAAAGCGAAGAAGGGCTGGTTTAACATCTGCAGTAGTGAGTTCACGCCGTATTTTTCCCTGGGGGCTTGCATGGATGGGTTGAATATCCTGACGCAATCGCTGTATGGGATCAGGCTGGAGTCGCAACCGCTGGAGAATGGGGAGGCCTGGAGTCCGAATGTTCACAAGTTGGCGGTGGTGTGCGAGGATGAAGGGCTCCTAGGGTTTATCTACTGTGATTTCTACGAGAGGGAGGGGAAACCCAATCAGGATTGCCATTTTACTATTCGGGGAGGGAGGATGCTTCCCGATGGAACTTATCAGGTGAGGAATTCGGGGTTTTCACATTAAGGATATCCAAGTATCTTTTACAATTTGGTACAGACCGTACTACAGATTCAACCATTTTCACTAAACTTTATAATTCACGGACATTTGCAAAAAAAAATGTGATTTCATCTATTATTTTTCATTTTAGAATCCTGTGGTTGTGCTCATGCTCTCACTACCATCTCCACGATGGTCGAATCCCTGTCTCCTGAGTCCAGCATCTGTTGATAATCTCTTCCACGAAATGGGACATGCACTGCACTCGATGCTGGGTAGGACTCAGTATCAGCACGTGACTGGAACTCGCTGCAGTGCGGACTTCGCAGAAGTGCCCAGTGTCCTTATGGAGTACTTCGCCAGTGATCCTCGGGTCGTCAGAATGTTCGCTAAACATTATCAAACGCAGGAGACAATGCCTCAGGACATGCTGGATAAACTTTGTGCCTCGAAGAACGTCTTCGCTGCATCGGATCTGCAGGTGCAGGTGTTTTATAGCATGCTGGACCAGGTTTATCATTCGAAACCCCTGGAGACATCCAGCACGGAAATCTTGACAGGGATTCAGAGGGAATATTATGGGCTTCCATATGTCGACAATACAGTAATGATATAGTACATTTTCCAATTAATATATGAGGTATTCCATGTCAAATGAGTCAACGGCTGATACCTCACCCTCTTGGAAATTGATCTCGATAGTTTTTACGATTAAGGGACTTGAAAAACTACACGGACAAAAAAATTTAATAGAAAAACCTATCGAATTCGTGGGAAAATTCTATTGAATTTCTATTGAACTGTTCTATTAGTTTTTGGCCGATTCTATTGAAATGTTCAATAGAAAATATTCAGTAGAAAAAGTCAATAGAATTCAATTTTTCTATTCTTATTCTATGGAGATATTTTTTATAGAATTTCCTCGGCTCAAATTTTCCACGTTTTTTCGTTTGATTTTCTTGATGAGAAGAAAAGAAAAATGGAATGAAAAAAAAAATGGAAAATTTGAGTCGAGCAAATTCTATAGAAAAGATATGAAAAGAATAAATCATATAGAAAAATCGAATTCTATTGACTTTTTCTATTGAATGTTTTCTATTCAACATGTCAATAGAATCAGCCAAAAATTAATAGAAAGTTGAATAGAAATTCAATAGAATTTTCTAACGAATTCGGTAGGTTTTTCTATTAAGTTTTTTCGTGCGTGTATCTCTCAATTTTTTTCAGATTTTTTTAACAGCCCATTTCGGAGTTATAGATTTTTCTTTGTTTTTTCGTTTTTTATCAATAACTTCAGTCCTATTCATCCGATTTTGATTTATGACGCATCAAAATTTTCGGTTTTCTACCATCTATAAAGATGTTTTGAGTAATTTTTTTTCAAAGATGATGAACACCTTAGATGCTCGTAATACCGAATTTTCAAAAAAAAGTTGAAAAGCTTGCATTTTCAAAATTAGGCCACCTTTTATTTTTCTCCTCTTTTTTTCAGTAACTCTTGTAATCAAAACAAGTATTTTGACCTGTCATGCAGGCTGGGTTTCGTCCTAGATCTACTTTATTTCCAATTTTTTCTTCTCGAAATTCCATGAATTTGGTCAAAATACCCCAAAATGACGTTGATTGACTTTGATTATAAACAGTCTGAAGTGAATTTAAATGTATACTTATATGTTATATGTTTTTTCGATACATAATCGAAGTCGTTTTGGGGTGTTTTGACCAAATTCGCGGAATTTCGATAAGAAAAAATAGAAAATAAAATAGATTCAGGACGAAACCCAACATTTATGATGGCTCAAAAACCGTGTGGAAATTATAAGAGTTGCTGGAAAAAAGATGAAAAACAAAAGATAACATAATTTTGAAAAAAAATTTGGAAAATTCGGTATAAGGCCCCTAGGGTTTGGAAGAAGGGGTTTAACAGAAGGTTACTGTTTCCTTGAATTATTCAAACAAATTTCCTGCTCAAAATTATTAATGCTTTTCGAACCCAAAGCATATTGATCTTCACCATCGCTTTCTGGAGATTTGTGCTTCGATTTTTTTAAATATCGATAACTTTCAGAGAGAAGTTTATTCAAAAATTTGAAAAATTAGCACCTCTCTGTTACCCCTTACGGCACAAGTTATAATTTGGAGGTAAAAGAAATCTAGAATTGAATCCATAATCTCATTAATGATTCAAATGTTGACTATTTAATCAGGCCTGGCAACTCCGATTTTCCCACCTCGTCGGCTACGGCGCAAAATACTACTCCTACCTCATCTCCAGAGCAGTTGCCTCCTGGATCTGGCAGACATATTTCGAAGAGGATCCCCTGAGTCGTTCAGCTGGTGAAAAATACCGAAGGGAGTGTATGGGCCACGGTGGTGGTAAACCCCCATCAAAAGTCGTCTCTGATTTTCTCAATAAAGAAGCAAGTGCCGAAAACTTTGCCAAATCCCTAATCGCCGAGATCGACGTCAAAGATAAACTCGTCAAGTCCATCAAAAACTGATTATCAATTAGTCATTAGTCATTTGTATAAAATAGCCCAGTGTACAGAATGAAATGTTATCATCGATAATAACTTTGATATATAATTTTTTTCGTTGTATTTTTATTACAAGTACGGATGCTTTTTTGATTGACTTATCCTATTTACATTTTTCTTGACAAATTCCTACGAAATATTACACAAAAATAAGTTCTGTAGCGTAGCGTACAAAATTGTTGTTCAAGTGTAACCGCAGTAAAAAGTTCAACTCGATTAAATTCTGAATTCAAGTCGTGATTGTGGAATTATTTTGCGAATGGATAGGGTAAACTGCCCAGTACATGGACACCAAAGAAAACCGCCCAGTGTATAGACGTTTGTTTTTTAGCAACTGAAAAAAAAATTGATCGAAAAAAAAATCGTCACTCAGGGGTTAAGAATCACAACAGTTAGTGCAAATTCAAAGCAACAATTCACATTTCAGTATTTTTTTGCGTAATTTCCTATCCAAAAGTAGCTCGTCCATCTATAGGGCAGTGTCCATCTACTGGGTAGCTTGCCCTAATTCTGAACAAAAATGTCACAAAACAGTTTTTGTAGCAAATTTCGTCAGTTAGAAAAAAATTCTCGATATTGTTTCCTCAAATCACTCATTTCTAAGATAATCCTCAAAGCAAAAATCACAGTTTCACTTGACTCATGACGTTTAATAACCCGAAATTTAAGTTTTCCCTGCAATTATTGAAATTTTGATTTTTTCTCGGGGTTCATTCAAGTGTTTTATGGTCAGCATGATTATTCACATTTGTGGATATATCAGTAAACCAACGATTTTTCTTCATACATAAAGAATACAATTGAGGATAAAGAAATTCATAACACGATTGAATTTTGTGATTTAAGGCCCGAATGGATTATCTTTCGAACGTTATCTCGAAGGTTTTTTCATCTTCATAAACTAAAATATATCACAATTTCCTCTGGATTTTACATCACGTAGGTGTCCCTAAAAATTATGATTGCACAATCAAAATAAGTAGAAAACACTGAACATTTTCAAAGAGCATTTTTAATAAAGATTAGGAAATAAGTCCGACAGAGAGGAAATTGTAAATGGATAATTTATCATTGCAACTAACGATCTGACAGGTATTGGCTACTGAGACAAATGACGACTGAACAACATTAGATATTGTAAATTATTAATTTACGATTTCCTCCCTATCGGGGTTATTTCCCAATATTATTCAAAAACGCTCTTTGAAAATGTCCAGTTTTTAAAAACTTTTTTTGATTGGACAATCATAATTTTTGAAGACTCCAGGGCTGTGTAAAACTAAATGGCAATTGAAGAACATTTCAGATTATCAAAATAAAAAAAAATAACCAAAATAACGTTCGAAAGGTAATACACGCGAGACTTAATGCACATTAGGGATTTATTCCAACTATGATGGATTTTAGAGGAAAATGCCAAAAGGAATTTCTTGTATATCGAGAGAAATTCTTAAGAAAAATTGTACTGGTAGCCAGAAGAAAGGGGTGCGAAATGACAGCTGAGGGAAATTCCGGTGCTGTCACTGAAAGTTTTGTTGAGTAGCACGTGAATTTTTCCCATATGGATATGAAATTGTTACGGAAATCTCCAAAAATTTTCGTAAGAGGCAATGGAACTTACCATCGAAGTAGAAATTGGATTCCAAATTTTTTCGTCGTAAGACGACTATTTAGCTTAACTCAAATTCTTACATCATCAATAATCTTGGTATCTATAGTGTAAGAATTTGGGGTTTGCTAAATAGTCGTCTGACGACGACAAAACTTTTTTGTTTTTTTTTATTTTTTTTATTTATTGTTTTTTTTTCAACGAAAAAACTTGAAATCTAGTTTCTACTCCGATGGTAAGTTCCATTGCCTGTTAACAGCATTATAATTTTTCATAGCCGGCAGATTGTAATCCCTCCAGTAGTAGCACTAGAATCTTCTTAAAGAATTTCTCCCCGTGTAATGAATTTCATCGACTTAAAAAAAAGTCCTTCGACGAATTCTTCTAAAAACCCATTCTTTTCAAAATAAAAAACATGTTTCATTCGACTCATAATACTTCACAGTACGGAGTTTAAACATTTCGTCTAATCATTGAAATTTGAAGACTGCCTCGTGGTTCATTAGCATCTAATGGCCAGGATTACAAATCGAAATTAAAGAAATGATTGTATAATTGATGATAAAACAAACCTGCGAATTCTCATCGTACTTAAAAAATGAAAAATTTGAAAAACGATTCTTACAATTCAATTGAACTTTGTATTCCAGTTATAATGATGAATTTCCCTTGAAAACGAGTGGTATTCATTGGTTTAGATGACGTAAAGAAAAATTTCCGTTGCACATTTTATCAGCTAGAAAAAAATCTTTTGATGATTTCTTCGAAACCCACTCATATCCAAGATACTCTCCAAAATAACAAATATATTTCATTCGATTCGTAACATTTCACGGTTACCGGTCAAAATAGCTCACGTAAATTTCAACACACATTTAACACATGGGTATTCAACAGTTGACAGTTTAACATGTACAAATTTAACACGTGTGTGTGTGTGTGAGTGTGTGTATTTGAAGTTCATAATTGAGGTATTACTAACAGGATCATTCAGAGGATTTGACTACCTGGATCATCGGAATAATCGAAATTCGAATTAGTCTTGTTTTGATAATATTTTCTGTGATTATGAGTATGGGGAGTTAATTTCAAAAAAACTGTGAAGTGCTGTGTAGTATGATATTATTTCGCTGTGATTTGTTTAATTGTAATTTGATATCAATTTATTGAATTTGCCGATTTACTTATATGTTTTCATTTATTGATGCAATTTACTGGATTATCGTTCTTTTTGCGATTTTTCATGCTTTCTCATTTGTCGATGCAAGTCACTGTACTTTTGTTCATATTTTTTTTATTTCTCATCAAATGAATTCTCATGCCAAAAGTAAATATTTATTGCTTTCGAAAACTTTGTTGATAATTGCGTTGAAATTGTGCTGAATGTGTGTGTTGAAATTGTTTGTTTTAACATTTACGTGTGTTATTTTGACATGTGATGCATTTCACAGCAAAGAGTTCAAATTTTCGTTCCCTCATTGAAATTTGGATGGTTCTTCATGGTTTATTAAATTGTAATAATCGCATACGAATCGAAATAAAATGAATGTTTGTACAATTAATAATAAAAAAAGCTGTGAATTTTCTTCGAACTTGAAAAATACAGAGATTGAAAAATGATTTTTATAATTCAATCGAATTCTGCATTGCAATGGTAATAATAAACTCATCTAGAAAACGAGTGATTTTGGGGAATCACCTTAAAAAAAATTCTTCCTCTGACATTCCCGCTCATTTCTGAGACACTCTCAGAAAAATAAAAAATGAACATATTTCATTGGACTCATTTAATTGTACAACTTCGACGAAAAATGCCCATTCTTTATGTAATTACTGAAATTTCGATTTCTTCTCATGTTTTCTTCGCGTATAATATCGTAAATCATCAATCATAATCAAAGAATGTGTGTACAATTAAAAATTAACGAGTGAACCTGCAATATTTCTTCAAAATCGTAAATCACAGAAATTAATAGAACAAATCAGCTGTACTATTTACTGCGCTCGTTGCTCGAAAATACCTCACGCCCCGACGTACGATGTACTCCAGAACATAGTTGGGCAGTAGAGTGGGACGACGCACCCTTCGAAAGGTGCCTAACATATTCGAAAAATTGGCTGACATTCGAGATGGTCAGTAGCATTGAGCCATTGCCAGAACTGTCCATAATTTAGTCCCACCGTTATTGACTACAATAATCAATCATTCACACAATCCCTGACATTACCTATGAATGAGAATGCACTGTAGAAAATGCCAGCCGCCTCATAATACGCAATTACCCTAAGAGTGCTATAAATAACGCTAAAGGGACAAATACTTCTCTGATTGATTCTCCCCCCAATTATCCTCGCCCCTCCATTATCCAATTATAATCGGTAATTAACATATTCCATTCTCCTTATTTTATACAGCCACATAATTCTACATTATTTGTCTCTCATCGACGGAGTAATCAAATTTTCGTACGAAAAAAATTACTTTCGCCACTGTTATTTCATTTTTCCTCCTTTATTATATTCACAAAAACACTAAACACCATTTTTCTCGTAATGTCCTTTATACAAAAGAAAAAAATGGTGTGAAAGAACCCAGACAATAAACGAAATGATTCTCATAATCAATTTGAATTAAATATCATCATTCCATCCTCTTTGATTGCCTGTTTAATTCATCAATTCACTGATTCACCTTAACGACGAAAATTATCTCGACATCTTGAGGGTTGATCCACAGTTATGGTCCATGGTAAGACCTTAATCATCGATTAAATCAGGTATTAAATTCCTATTTTATCATTTTCTTCGATCAAACAGACGTTTTTTATCACCGTTGAGACACAAACGACGATACCTAATCATAAAATATTGATTATTACGAAATCGCAGATTCCAGCGTGAGCTCAATTGTCGGGTTTGCTCTTCAATTCGACGTCTCAATCGCAAACTCTTTATTTCGCGTACAACCATCTTCGCTCGTGGCTTGGTCACTTTGGCATTTGGTTGTGGTTACGCAACATAGTTGTATTGGTTAGCATTGTCTTTGTCCCTCTCCATGTAGTCGCGGTCTATCAGGGACTCGATGCGTTTTTTAAGATCAGCTGGCTGTAATTAATCAAACAAAACAACATGTTTAAATTAATTTCATGAGTGATTTTATGACTATTGATTGTTTTGAAAATATCTCGGGAACTGAATTAGGACGAACTGACCAAGTGCTCGAACGAATAAGCTCAGAACTAGTTTTGACGTATATTCAAAATATAACTAAGTAGAAAGGCAATTTGAAGATTATTGAGGCTTCAGTTTAGATTCCATAGGCCATTGAAAAATATAATGAACATTAATCGATGATAAAATTGACATTGTGAATAAAAAAAGAGGGAAACGGCTGAAAATTCAATAATTGAGCCAATAAGGCCACCGCTAATTCTAATGTAAATAATCGACAATAGAATTGGCAATATGAACAGTAGAGTGGCCGTTACGTCACTCGTTCCGGAATTTTTTGTGCCGCACACTCAAAAGACTCGAAATAAATTTAAAAAACCCTCTCAAAACTTCAACTCTCAATCTCAATTAGGGCACTTGTATGAAGTTCAATCTTTCTAATTCCCCTATTGACACATTCATTGCCGAGGAGAGAGAATGCATTATCTGAATCCGAGGATGCATTACCTTGACCGGGAATTTCAGCTGATTGTACAGCTCACTAATAAGCAGATTATGAGTGAGAGTTTTCCTCATCTTCATAATTCTCACAATAGCAGCATCAATCTGGTACTGTCGATCCTGATAGACCCTCTCCTCAGTGGCCTTCTGCTCCTCATTCTGCAATTCCAAAATAAAAAAAACCTCACCATCAATTCCACCCAAAAGCATCACCAATGCCAAAAAAACTCACCGTCTCCTTCATCTGAATCTGATTAATTTTAATCCTAAACAGTTTATTAGTGAAGTCAGCATGAAATACGAATCTGTCATTATCAGCAACATCCCTTCCCCTGGGATTCTTCTGCAAAACCCTGGCCTTGCCACAAGCCAAAGACTGCAGAGTCCTCCTCAACTCTCCATCCTCGATATTCGTAGCAGCCTTGATCTCCTCAAGTGACAAATCATCAGAGTCATTAAAAAGTATCAAAACAAGCGCTTGAAACAGTGAGACCTGCAGCTCCTTATTGCCCCCAGTGAACCATGCCTTGAGCACGCAGTGTCCAAGTGTCGGTTGCCACTGTAATTTCCTCCCACTGTGTTTTCCCAGATAAAACTTATTGAAAACCTCCTGATACTGGACCATTTCAGCAGGCAGAGTCACCTCCATCAGTGGATAAGTGGGCCAATACCCCATCGTCAAAATGGAAACAGTGAGATCCAGATTATTTGCCAACAATTCATTCTGCAGATTTGTCGAGTACTGCTTGAAAGCGATATTAATATCCTTGCTCAACTCCATGTCCTTGAACATTCCCTCAAGTTTACTCGTGAAGCCACCCCCGCACTCCTGCTTCAGCTTGGACAACATCGACTTCTCGGCATCCACAGATGCAGACTTCCCCACCAAAAGTCTCTTCGCCAAGTCCTTCTTATAAAATGCCTCGAACACATCTTTCCCATGGATAAATCGAAATAGAACCATTATCTTGTCTAGAAGTCGTTCAAGCTCCTCCTCAGTGGCTTCCTTATTGCCAGCACGTAACTTCATGTCTACAAATTTGGCAATCAACTCAGCTGGCTTGTTGGCACGCTGATTGATGAAGGCCTCGAATGCCTCCTTTAGACTATTCGCAAATTTTTCATTTCTATAGAAACACGTATTCACAATATTATCCATTTTGTCCTTAAAGTCGAGTAATTCTTGCACCATTGTCTTGTCCTTCTCAGGATCTATGACTATCGTTTTGCCCTTCTTCTTGATGTAGCAATTGAAATTGAGGCAGAGTTCAACGAGGCCATTCTTCACACGACTGTACAGATTGTAGAGTAGTGTTAGATCACTTATTCGATTTTCATCGAGGATGCCACTGAGACCCTTCTGGAGAATGCTGGAGACGTGCTCCGAGAGGAGTTGTTTTTCCACTGTGTGGATGAGGGACCACTTTGTGGACATGTCGAGGTAGTGGAGGAGACGCTCGTTCTCCTCTTGGAGACGTTTGTCGACGTGAGCTAGGTACTCGGGGACGTCGTGCTCGTTCATGAGGCGCTGGCCCTCAGCAGCGTAGAGTCTCTCGGTGGCCATGAGGAATTTAGTCTCAAAGGCCTCTTGGTAGATCTGAAGGTCAGAGAGCATTCGCAGGAGGGACTTCAGGAGGGTTCTGTCGACTGTGTCACCCTGGCGCTCCTTCTCGATCAGCATTAGGAGACCCTCTACTGTCCGCGTTTGCACGAGGTTGTTCAGGACAATGTGCAGTCGGAATAAGTGGAGACCCATGTCCCTGAAACACACGAGTTCGATTATTCATGGATTTGTTAAGAATAGAAAGGAACTGCGATGTGTTTTTGTGACAGAAGTGTGAAGCAGTTATTGATTTGTCGTGGATTCTATACATGGATTTGCTTGAGATAGTTTAAACATAATTTTTATTTTGTAGATTAAAATCTTAACTAAATTCTAAACGAAAGTTAATATGAACAGGGATCACCATCAATATTTATATTCTGTAATATTACAAGGATTTGACCCATACATTAATGAAGGTTTAAAATATGCTGATCAAATTTTATAAGTAGCAAAAATTTGATAATATAGAACTGTAAATTTACCATTAAGGGAAGAATTCAAATTTCTTAAAAGGGGGATTTCCGATTAGACAAATAATTGTCAATCTTCCCACCTCAACTATTGGTTAATAAAATAGTTAAAAATTTGAATATTTGAATTAATGATACTTAAATAATCAAAAAATTTAAGAGTCTGGTTGAGTTTGTGCTCAATAGGCAGTCTCGTATTATTGATATTAATTAATGTCGAAGTGGAAAAATAACACAGAATCTTATGAGAAAATGACCTTTTCTGCGTTCGTGAGAAGGAAAAAAATAAGTGATTCTAAATAATGAATAAATCAACAATAATACTAATTATAATAAGTTAATACTAATAAATAAATGATTTTAATGATGATGAGTAAATAAATGATTATGATTTTGCTAGAGAAAATCAGAAAAATAAATGAAAGTTCTATGTCAAATTATCAGTAGCAAACTTTTATAATAAATAATGTATGCTTTGGCGTCCTCGAAATGGCGTGTTATGTCGACACATTCTAGCTAAACGAGAGACTATTGTTCAACTAAATAATTGAAGAAACAATTTGATGAATCAATTTCTTACCCACATCGATCTTAGAATTCGTGAGAAAAATTATCAATGATGAATCATTTTTTTTAGCTTTTTGAATTTATTTTTCCTCGTTACACTCAACGATTCGACTTAGTTTATTCATACTACTTTAAGGTTTTTCCTCAGTCACTTACAGGTGGTGAAAATTTCGCAATATACCAGGGACTCATAATTTGCATCATATGTTGTTGTACACATTCAAGAACTTCTAAAATTTCTAAAATTTTAATCATTTTGTGCGACATATGCATCATCAAAAATTGAAAAAAAAAACATTGTTGATATTTATGTATTTATGAAACGGGGTCGTCACCTGCAAAAGTTTCAGTTTTCCAATTATTTTACAAATTTTCGTCAAAAAGCAGACTTTCTATTCTTTTCTCTATTGGTTCAAAATGGTCAATCAAATTTAGACCTTAAACATTCGAATAATAAAATCATGGCAAAATGTTCTGTAACGTAGGATCCAATGGGACATTGGTGTAAGCTTTGTTAATTATTTCAACGAGAAAAACTACTCTGACATTTCTTATTTTTATTTATTGTTTATGTCAATTTTTTAAGGGGGGGGGGAGAAGGAAGTAGTGTATAGACAATTGTGGGGTTTTTAAGAATGTGGATAAATTGGCGGATTATTGAATCACTCATAAAATAAGGTAGCTCGGTGGCTTGGCACAGTGAGTAAGTCCGTTGCCTCACATGCGAAAGGTTCCGAGTTCAAAACCCGGCCGAGTAGAATGGTGAGATCTAATCACTTAGGATTTGACCCATACATTAATGAAGGTTTAAAATATGCTGATCAAATTTTATAAATAGTATAATATAAATAATCTAATTTAAAGTCTTGATCATCATCGCAGCATACCTCAACCGGGTCGAAGTAATGTAAAATAACGATAAAAAAAAAAAAATAAAGTGCAATAACTTTAAACCGCACTCAATGGATGAATTTGTTTCTGAATAAAGAAGATTTTGAGAAAGAACTAAAAGTCCATTCTTCCCAACATTTTCTCAATTTTTTTTTCTTATTTGCATTTTCCACATTAACATAGCGCAATCACTGTTTAAAGAATGTATTTGAATGTCGGGCTCCGGTGAACATCTACCTTGGAGTCAAATGAAATGAAAGAAGAGAGGGAGATAGTTATAAACTATTGATTGACACGTGCCGGAGAAAGGCCACGTCCATGAAATATTCCTGAGATTCTAGATTTTTCGATCGGGTTGGTGCTTAACTCCATCGCTTTGTAATAAGACAGACCCACAGACACAAATCCGCACATACTGGTGACTTCTAAAAATATCAAATCTCGACGTTCCACGACCTGTCTGATCATGTGCAATGGAAATCTCGTCCTTTTTTTATTCTTACGTGGTTTCCGTTGGAAAGCAAAGGATTCACATTTCACGAGGGATAACTACCTCTCCAATGAAGTTTCATTGATTTTTTCGTATTGAGAGCGAAGAAAGAAGAACCAAAGAAGAAACTAAGAGCATGTTTTACATTTTGTGGAACTTTTTCAGAAAATATCTCGTGATTTAAGGCACGCGATTTTCACATTCTCTAATTTTGATTGGAAATGATATAGAATGGTCTGAAACGTAAAAATACGAAGTTTGGCGACCATGTCTATATGTGATCACGTCCACCGTCACCTTCCCGGTGGTCAATTTTTAGAAAATTGAGTAATTAAGTGGCTAAAGTAATTTCAAAAAATCTAAAATTTTATCAGATTCTAGGCCTTGATAAGGACTAACTCTGTGCAAAATTTTAGCTCGATAGATCCAATAGTATTGGAGAAAAAACGATTTATTTTTGAATCGTTTTCCGCAAAAATCTTCAAAACTACATGTAAAAAAAATTAAATTGAACCAATGTTAAATTAAAATTTTCTGTTTGATAATGTAAATAACCCACTGAAACTAGTGGATCGAAAACTAGACGACCGATTTCGATTTTTTTGTTTTCAAAATATCGGTTTCGATGCCTTCTATCGAAATCAATCAAAACATATTTACCAATTCATGCAAAGTTTTCGAGATATTCCCGTTTTTCCGTTTTTTTCATAAAAAACATTGTAAACACTCTAGCTTGTGCAAAAATCAAGATATCAACTTGAAATTTGGACAGAAAATATGTACAGTCGAGCACTAAAGTTCGTGAAAGGCCTCAACTTAAATTCTATGTATTTTCTTTACGAACTTTAGTGCTCGACTGTATACCCGCTCATACGAAGTATTCGAAACATTGGAATTTTTAGGAACTAGTTAGTGTTGTGAAGCTATAAACATTTGTAATATTTCAGACCATTTATTGATGGCGAAAAAAAAATAAGACATCACTCAGTAATATGCTGACTGTCACATGGCACGCTGTCATATGCTCGCTGTCCCCTGATTGTTTTTCATTTTGATAATCTGAAATGTTCTTCAATTGCCATTCCGTTTTACATAGCCCTGGAGTCTCCAAAAATTATGATTAGACAATCAAAAAAACGTCGAAAAAAACTGAACATTTTCAAACAGCGTTTTTGAGTAATATTGGGAAATAAACCCAATAGGAAGGAAATTGCAAAATAATAATTTTCAGTATCTAATGGCTGTTCAGTAGTCATTTGTCTCAGTAGTCGACATCTGTCAGATCGTTAGTTGCCATGATAAATTATCCATTGACAATTTCTTCTCTGGCGGACTCATTTCCTAATCTTTATTAAAAATGCTCTTTGAAAATCTTCAGTTTTTTTCTACTTTTTTTGATTGTGCAATCATAATTTTTAGGGACACTTACATAATGTAAAATCCTGTAGAAATTGTGATATATTTTACATTGTGAAGATGGAAAAACAATCGAGATAATGTTCGAAAGATAAGCTACCCTTAAGGTCTACTCTTTCGACGAGGTGCACTGTAGATTTGAATATATTCAGTTTTTGTATTTTCCAACCAATTGCATGAGAAAAATTTGAAAAACTTCGTATCAAATAAGTATCATTCAAATGATATTTTACAAAATATTAGTATTTTTTTAAACGTTTCCTCCTCATAAATAAATAATGGAACTTGTTAGCAAAACGGTCGATTATTTTTTATGAGGTGTCAAACGTGTTTTTGATTTTCTCACATCTCATTACAAAAGAATTAGATTTCCGTCTTAATTACAATAAAAATATTAATTTTTACATTAGAGACAGGGTTAAATCCCGATTTTTCAACATGTTTTGTTCGAAAAACTTGAACATAATTAAATTGAGAAAAGAATTAGGATTCCAAATATTATCGATTTTTCTGGAAATCCTTTGCAGTGTTCAATAATTTTTAAATTTATCGTAAGGGTAGAACTACTCTAAAGGAGATTATTTCACGATTTTTATGAAGGCCTTTTTGCAGCTCTCATTTTGCCCATGAACACTGCATAATCTTTTCTGAATTCAGAAATATTTATTGGAAACTCATCTTCGTGTAATAAATAATGAATAGTCAGAGTGAACAGTGCATTAAAAGCAAAGCATACTGGAATTATAAAATTCTGGGTTTCTTCCAAATCTGGATGAACCATTGAATTGTTTATGAAAATAGGTGCAATGACCCCGAGCAGTCCTCGGTGCAAAACCGCGAACTTTTTTTATCTTCTTACGTGGCTTCCATTGGAAAGCAGAGGATTCATCTTTCATACGAGATATCTGCATTAAAACTAGTTTTTTTAAAATGTTTCCACAGTGATAATCAAGAAAAAAACACGCAGGGAGTCGAGCCTTTATGTCAGAAGGCGTGTGACCGTTCCTTGATGCGTTATTTGTCTTTCTCATTCCTTATTTCTACAAATTCCATTGGTAGTAAGCTTTCACGGACGAAAAAATTTAGTAGGAAAACCTATCGATTTCGTTAGAAAATTCTATTGAATTTCTATTGAACTGTTCTATTAGTTTTTGGCCGATTCTATTAAAATGTTCAGTAGAAAATATTCAGTAGTAATATCACGAGACCTCCAAAATTATCGGATATTTCCCGATTGTTTTGTTGCGTAGCAACGAGAGGGAAAAGTTTTGCAGATTAAATTTTTTTAATTTTTTGGAATTTTTTGGATTTTTGTGCAAAATTTATCCCGACCGTTGATACGCAGGAAAACATGAGGGAAATGTCCGGTTAGTTTTGGAGGTCGAGTGGTATTGGACGGATTATTTTTGGTAATCGGATCCTTCCCAAACCGACTCATTTTGACTTTCTTCATGACGTTCTTTCACTCCACAGGATAATATTTGACAGTTATTTGGTTAGAGAAACAATTGCAGAGCTAGAGGAAAATTATCAAAAGCTAGGGGAAAATAACCGCTGTAATTTTAATTGGGAAGTACTTCATAATATTGAATACTGAACTCTGATTGGCCCAGGGAAGGCCAGATCCGATTACCAAAAATAATCAGTAGAAAAAATCAATAGAATTCAATTTTTCTATACAACTTATTCTATTGAGATATTTTCTATAGAATTTCCTCGGCTCAAATTTTCTAAGTTTTTCCGTTTGATTTTCTTGATGAGAAAAAATAAAAATGGAATGAAAAAAACTTGAGTCGAGCAAATTCTATAGAAAATATATAAAAAGAATAAGTTATATAGAAAAATCGAATTCTGTCGACTGTTTCTATTAAATGTTTTCTACTGAACATGTCAATAGAATCAGCCAAAAATGAATAGAAAGTTTGATAGAAATTCAATAGAATTTTCCAACGAATTCGATAGGTTTTTCTATTAAATTTTTTCGTGCGTGTCCGAATGGATCCGTTGAAATTTCATTTTGTAATTGGAAAGTGGCAATTGATCTCTCCTGAATTCACAGATATTTATGAGACTGATTTTGGAGTGATGAATAATTAATAACAGGGGATGAAAGTAAACATACCAAATAGAAGATATACTGGGATTTTGCAGGACATAAGTTCTATCGAGGTACAAAAAGATACTCCTAATCATGATCATCTGACGACAGTGAGACTGCCAGCACTCGTTCATCTTCTTCAGGAAAATGTGTCTGTCCATCGATTCAGCCAGAAATTGCTCAATATTGGCTTTAACGTGGGACTCTGTCAGCACTGTCAAATTAGCGTACAATGTCGACGCCATTTTGTGATTACACATGTTTTCAACGGCCTGATAAAGCTCTTCCAGGGAGTAGCGGATGCTTTTACTCGTCTGGATAGCCACCACTGCCTCACGTAACTTCTCCCATGTCTGCTCCTGGTAGTTCTCGGGTAGTTTAGGTTTATCTGGACACAACAAGAAAAGAGAAATTATTTTTAGTTATGGCTGGCTCGAAATAGCTTGAGGGGTGGATTGTTGACTCAAATGGTCGTTGACTTAAATGTTCAGGTAGCGATGCAACAGAAACAACTGATCGATCAATTTAACGTAATTTGACACTTAAATTAGACATCACCCACTACGAGCTACTTATTGACCATTTTTTGTCATAAAAAATTACAATATTTCTTGTCACAAACATGATTAAAAAAATTGACGGTAAATTTTAATCTAAATAGGGGAGAGTGGGGCAAATGAAACAGCGAGGCAAAATGAAACGGTGGGGCAAAATGAAACAGCTGGAAAATGGCTGTTTGACACAATTCAAACAAACAATTTTTTTTATTAATTTTTTTTTTCAATAACTTTTGTTTATCACCTTTTTTTTATTCTTGGGACTACTGATGTAAATATTAATTTTCTATTCAGTAGAATGGAAAATTATTGAGAAGTTTTGATTGGAGAAGATTTTGTCAATGTATTAATTGAAAAAAAAAAAAAATGAAACAGTAAAAGCCAAAGTCCAGAGCGAGGCCCAGGAGGAGACCCAGAGGAGGTAAAAGGAACATGTGATGCAGAATTTCAATCGAATGAAAAGAGAAAAGTGTAATTGAACTCATCTACTCAATTGAATTATAATCAATTGAATCATAAGACGACTGGAAAATTGTTATTCTCATCTCAGTACTCCCAATAATAAAAAAAGTTGATAAAAAAAAATTTTTCGTTGCTTGAATTGCGTCAAATAGACGTTTTTCGACTATTTCATTTTGCCCCATGTTTCATCTTGACCCATTCTCCCCTAGAGTACTGGATTTTGTTTAGAGTATTGGGTAATTAGAGTATATAACTGCTCCAACGAATTTTTCGAGGAGACAGAATTAATTCGTCATTTATTACAAAAAGAAATTAAAATCAACAAGAAAATTGAGTCGGACTCAATTAGGTAAATAACTTGCAGATGGTGACTGGGTCAAATTTTGACCTTCGTGGGGTTCATACCAGCTGCGTCCCCGTCGCGAACCCTGGGTAATGCTAAGTGCTGGTGAAGCTTGGTACTATAAAAATAAGTGCTTCACTACACGTTGAATTTATATGAGCCCCTCATAGGGTGAACCAACCAGTGTTCGAACCAGACCAGTAATCGAACTAATTGGTACTTTTTCTATAAAATAAATTAGTAGAAGGTAGAGATGCCTCGCATTATACATGAAAAATAAAATTATGGCATTTCCAAATGATATTGTGATGATTGAAAATGTCCAAGTTACCTTATTACCAACGGAAAAAACAGTTTTCGATGACACGCCGCCAATAGCATATTCCCATTACAGAATACGCATTTCGATTACTGAGTTTTCACACATTTTCAGCTTTTTGTATTCATATCATTAATTGTATCGTCAATTAATATTCATAATATTTTTTTCTATTATCTATGGAGATGTACAATTATTTTTAAATCAATTTTCGACTTGGTTATATTTTTAAATCTACGTCAAAAATAACTGTGACCTTATTCGTTCGAACACTGGACAATTCCCCCTAATTGAAATTTTTAAAAACTGCTTTTAGAAAACTGCTTGGAAGTGTAGAATGGGAGGTCCTGTACATCCACATGAGCATACACGTTACTAAGTATAAGAGCTCAAGGAGGTTAAATTCATTTATAGTAGCCAGTTTCCGACACAATATTCGTCGAAATCCTTCAAAATCAAATAGATAAAATTAATATTTACCTATCAGTATCCCAAAAAAATTGGAATTGCTATATTAGCTAATTACTGAGTATTGCTAGTGATGAAAGGGGCTCATAGGTAAGCTCTCACATCAATCGAGAAGTTTTTATGAATTTGAACCCTAATATTACGATAAAATCACGGAAAATTAACGTAAAAACTTTCCATGATTTAAAACTTTCCAAAGCGTTAGCTTAAGGCCCGGGTGGATTATCTTTCGAACGTTATCTCGATTATTTTCCCATCTTCATAATGTAAAATATATCACAATTCCCATTGGATTTCACATCACGCAGGAGCCCCTAAAAATTATGATTGTACAATCAAAAAAAGTAGAAAAAAACTGAACATTTTCAAAGGGCGTTTTTAGTAAAGATTAAGAAATAACTCCGATAGAGAGGAAATAGTGAATGGATAATTTATCATGGTAACTAACGATCTGACAGCCATTGACTACTGTGACAAATGACGACCTAACAGCCATTAGATACATCAAATTCATTATTTGCTATTTCCTCCCTACTGGGTTTATTTCCCAATATTATTCAAAAACGATCTTTGAACATGTTCAGCTTTTTTTCAACATTTTTTTTGATTGTACAATCATAATTTTTGGAGACTCCAGGGCTATGTAAAACTGAATAGCAATTGGAGATCATTTCAGATTATCAAAATAAAAAAAAAATCATGATCACGTTCGAAAGATAGTCCACCCGGACCTTAAAGCGAAAGTTAAAAAATGTTAAAAGGCGGAAAAGTCAATATTAATTAATCATGATCTCAAGGAGGGGGATCGAAACCTTTGACGATTTCATGATAGGGTAACATTTCCAGTGATTTAACCACGTCTTTTTCTCCGCAAAAAAAAGTATTCACGTATTTTCTCTGAAGAAAATATCAATTCAGCAAACCGCGAACCTTTTCGATATTTAAGTCATCGGATCTCATTCGATCGGTTACCCGTATTTGTCGAATTTCAGCCGTTCGACCATTGGACGATTGAAATTGCTGACAGAGGATTGTATTTTTATTCACATCAAATGAATAATTTTTTATGTACAATTAAATGTTTCCTTGATCCAAATAAAGCCTTTATGAGGAATTGAATAAAAAATTTTAATCAAATATTGTTGAATGGAAAAATGAAAAAAAAAGAGTCCTAGGCGATTTGAGGATGTCCAGGTATTTTTTAAAGTTTGGTACCGACCACATTATAGATTCAATTATTTTCAATCAACGAATTTGTTATTGAAATTGTGTGAGAAAATTTTGAAAAAAAAAACATTTTGCACAGAATTATTAGTTTTTCAAACATTTATCGTTTATAAACAATTAATTGAAATTGTTTAAACTTTTGGAAATCTTATTTTTTAGGCATGAAATCGATTTCTGGTAAAAGTCTGAATATGAATAAATTTGTTACGATTCCGAACAAACCATTTTGATGGTGGAAAATTGTTTGTTTATAAATTATTTACAGCACTCGTAATTTGCAAAAATTATAAATTTTCAATTATTTCATCAATATTCCTCCAAAAGTAAATTTTCTATTTTTTTTCGATTTTTAATGGATTTTCTAATGGTTCAATATCGAGATTCAAATTCAGATCTGTAAAGTTTAAATAATAAAATCATTGTACAATGTTCGGAAACTTAGGGTGAAATGGGCTTCAAATGAAAGCTCTGGTGTTCGACTACAAAAGTAGAAAAGCATTTCACTGGAGAAAAATTAGCCAAAGCCATGAATGAGTTGAATCCATTTAGCCATGTATGTTGATACATAGCTAAATTTGATTTTTTTTTATTTTTTTACACGAATAGTGAATTTTTTTGTGTGAAAAGCACCGAAATCAGCTGTGTAGAAGTCGAATTCTAAAAAAGTGGTTCGTAATTGTTGTTCCACACATTTTTCCGAAAATTTTGAAAACAGAAATCTTTTGTAGTTCAAAAATTGGAGACCCTGGACTGTTTTTAGCATTTTAAGCGTTTTCGGCCAAACGAACAATAAAAAAAAATTTTTTTTGCACTAATTACTCGTTTTCAGATCTATATAATCGATCTTTAACGTATGAAAAGTCTCACTCCGATAACCCACGACTTTTAAAACTCATAGTAGTCTCCCCTTAAGGAACGATTCTGGTGAAATTCCTCAGTCACGTACCATTGAAATGAAATTGTTCATACGTTAAAGATCTATTAGTTATGTACAAAAACAAAGGATGAGTGCAAAAAAATCAATAAGTTTACTGTCTGTTTTTCCTCCACACGGAGAGAAATGTACGAGAAAAATTACCGTGCTGGCACAGTAAAGTGGGTTCAGGTGGTCTTTCCAGGCGAAATGTACCGCAAAGAGTAGGAAAAAGTACTGTTACGCGATTTTCTAAAAAATTCAAAAATTAAAAAAACTAATCGATGAATTAAATTTTAATTAATGGCGATCGATAGGACTCAACAATACCTTCATTTGAAAAAAAAGATTCAATTCCATCCATTAATTAGCGAATGGATGATAATGGATCGATAGAACACAAAAAATCCAAAACTTAAATTTAACACAACTACCGAAAATATAAATCAATTATTATCAGCTACATCAACTCATCCTTCTCATTGTAATAATTCAGTAGAGGAGTGATGAAATAGAAAAGCTCAATTTCACTTGAACATTCATCTCTCGGAAATATCTTGAAAGTGATTTTTTTCCAGAACATTCTTTGTACAGTGGAATGAGCTCTACAAAAAGACCCTCCTGAGAATTTCAAATCCAAAAATTTTCTAGAGAGAAAAGGTCCCAATCGATATGCGTCTACCTGCCTTATAGATATTCATCAAAACCTCACCCTCGCCCTGTGGATATATGTGTACATCCACGTGAAAAGGGCCCACTTTGTTGCATCTAGTTTCCGAGATATTCACGTTTTTCTTTCCACATCTCCCATTTAAACCAATGTTAAATTGTTTTTTTGATCGTCTATACTGACGTCAGTTTTCATTCTATCGGATTGATTTTGGGCTCAAAATGTGAGAAATCTGATCAAGATTATCGGAACATACATAACTCCAATACCATCAAAGTGGGCCCTTTTCATGTGGACACCCACATATATCCGGGGGGGGGGGAAGGTTCGTCTTCAATTGTCAACAACTCGAGAAGGCCAGAGTAAAATTTGTCTTTTTAGGGTGAACAGGCCAATTGCTGGACGGTTAAGGAAAATTCAAGTTTCGTGGTAGAATCGAAAATAAAAGAATCACCTACACTGTTCAAAATTTTCGTCTGAATTTTCCGTGCCAAATCCTGAAATTTCTATCGTGACTAATTTCCGCAGAAATTTCAGGAAATATTGTTATTGAGAAATCAAATATTCCATTGATTATCTGTTCGAGTGATGTGAAAATCAATTTCCGTGAAAATCCAGAAAAATCAGGAAAATTCAGGGAAAAATTGACAGTTTATGTCATTTTATATCTCAATATTCATGTTTCATTGAAAATTCAATGGAGTTGTGAAATTTTTATCTCACTCCCGCTGAAAACTCATGAATTTCTTTGAATTCTACCTAAAACTGAAAATTTCATAAACATTTTTCCTCCAAGTCCGATTCAATGTTACTCTCATGAGAATTACAATAATATTTTCCATGAAATTTCAAAAAATTTCTAACAGTGTAAATGGGGATATGATGACTTTCATACTTTCAAGGATGTTTTAATTACCAGAAAAAAATTATTTGAAGTGAAAATTACAAAACAAAAAATAATTAAATTAAGAAATACTTGAAAGCAGCCGAAGCCCCTAATTTTTGGACTACTGGGCCATATTTTTTTCATTTATGAAATGTCGATCAATAGAAAAAATAATTGATTACATGATTAGGGGAGGATGGGGTAAAATGGACACTTGACTTTTTTTTGAATATTCGTAGCTCATGAACAGATTTATCAATTGAGCTCAGTCTGAGCTCATCACAAAGAGGAATCATTGTTCTTTCTACTAAAAAATAAAATTATTCCATTTAATGAACAATTCAACACGTCATGAACATTTCAAAAAAAGTCAAAAGTGTCCATTTTACCCCACCCTCCCTTATATACGAGTCATATTATTAAAAGTTGAAATAATCCGTACAATTTTCATTTTATTTATTTTATTTGGTTGGAATATTCAACGCAAATTGAAATCGTCCAATCCGACCTGCACTGTTGAAAATTTTTGTCTGAAATTGCCGGTACTTTTTTTGGAAATTTTTATCGAATTTAATTACCACTAAAATTTCAAGGAATTTTGTCATTGAAAATTGAGAATTTCATGGAAAAATTAAAGTGAACTGTCAACTTCAGTTCCATTTTTTCTTTAAAATGAAAAAGAAAACCAGAACATTCTGGTAAACATATTCTCGAATTTTCGGGATAGTGACACTGAATGCGATTTAGGGGGAAAAATCATGAAATTTCAGATTTCACAAAAAAATTCAATGTAATTTGGTACTGAATAATCATATCAGATTGGAAATTCAAATAAATTGAGGAATTCTCGTGTTTATGTTGCTTAAAATTCTGGAATTTGACTGAATTTTCAGTGAAACTTGAAATTTTCATGATCTTTTTTATCCTAAATCGCATTCAGTGTCACAGTCCTGAAAATTAATGGTCAACTGTCCATGAAATTTCATTTTTTTAAGTACTCTCTCAAGTTTCAAAATGACATTTGATTAATCTAAATCGTATCACTTTATTGAAAAGACATCGGCGAATAAATCGGTCCGTTTTACCCCCACTAGCCTAATTAAATCACCGAATAATTAATAAATCCTCCCATAGAACTCTAAAAAATAAATCCCCAACAAACTGACTCCAATCTCCCACAACAACAATGCTCCAAAAAAACCCGAAAGACTATAAAAGTCAAGGCAATCTGCCAATCATGCCAATGTTGAAGTCAGCTGATTTGAGGTTATAACCTCGTGCCAACTTCTCGTCTTCCCCCACCCTAAAAACCTAATCCCACAACTAATGAAATGAAATAAAAATGAATATCTTACTCTTAAAATTTTTGATAACAAGCTTCCTAGCTGAGCCAGGCTTGGCATTTCCCAAATTCTGTGTCAACTTATTAACACCATTGGGATTAGCAACAGTGAGGGCTGAAAAATTAGCCCTCTTTTGGCTGGTAGCTGTTGCTGTATCAGTCATATTAACAATTTCAACGTTATTCTCCTCGTTCTCGTCGGCGTTATTGTGCCTCAAGCGCTTCGTCGCAGCACCGAAGCCCAGCAACGCCGTATTATTATTAAAACTGCTGTTATTACAGCTATTGTTGGTGTTGTGGTAGTGATGATGCTCGGATGATTTTTTCACCTGTCCTGTCGCCAGAGGCTGGGTCCTCACGAGTTTAGACATATGCGCGCATCACCCGGCCGTTGGCCCTTTCACGATAAACCGACGAGATACTTGGCACCAGTAATTTTATTACACACTCGATATTCCACTCGATTATTTATCTATTCGCGTCAATTAGAGAGTTTATAATTGGGGATGAGATCGCGGTTATCGGGGGGACACGGGTCTTGACCGTAACACGTAAAGAATTATCAATTTTTACTCCACTCCGAAATGTTCACTTCGTTATATTATCGCGATGGTCGCAGTGGATTCACGAGTTTGACAAGAGAAACTACACGCTCCTCACACACGCTCTCTGGCTCGGTTGATTTTTCCGAGTGCAGGTGGCACATTTGTAACTTTAGTGTTTGTTCTCATGTGGGGGATAACGCGGCAAAAAGTTTAACCTTAAAGAATTCTTATTTGAGGTGATGAATTATTGTTTTGGTTATTTAATTGTTGGAAAATCGATCAATGCCACCTAAAAAAAAATCCGGGGGGGCGAAGGCTGCGAAATCTAAGGGGGGTGATGAGGGGGAGAAGGGGAAGGGGGAGAAGAAAGGGGGAACTGCTGTTAAGGTAAGGGATTTCATTATTAGGGGAGGTTGGGGTAAAACTGACACTTGACTTTTTTTCAAATGTTAATGAGGGGTTGAATGTTGATGAAATTTATTTTTTTTTTTTTTCAATACAAAAAACAATTCTTTCCCTTTGTGACGAGCCTAAATTAAGCTCAATTGATAGATTTGTTTCTGAGTTATGAATAATTTAAAAAAGGTCTAAAGTGTCCATTTTACCCCACCCACCCCTATTGATGATGGATAATGATTATTTTTGTTGGTGAAATGAAGAGAAAATTTAAGGTTTTTTTTATTCAGGTCAGGCATATTCTGTGTGAGAAACAGTCCAAGATTCTCGAAGCTATGGAGAAACTGAAGGCTGGACAGAAGTTCAATGAAGTCGCAGCTACTTATAGTGAAGATAAGGCACGCTCCGGTGTAAGTATCTTCGATGTCACAGTTATTACCACTGACTCAGTTTCTGCTGCCCTCAAGGGCCTCAAATGATTTGTGGAGAATATCAATTGGAAATTTATCGAAATAGTTGACACCAATTTTTCTAATGTCGAAACCGAAAATTTGTTTAGTTATTCGCTATACTAAATGTATCAAATAATTTTGCAGTTTTATTGGGCATTTTTTTAAATCGGAAATTTTATAAAAAAAGTTGTGTAAAATGATGAAATTTTACTGATTTTTTCTATTGAGACATTTTCTGCAGAGAATCTTCGACTTGAATTTTCCAAGTTTTTTTCACTCTACTTTTCTTGTTTTTTCATTAAAAATTTAATACAAAAAAAATTAGAAAATTGGAGTTGATGAATTTAATGACCCTAAAGTTTGTCGACTTCTGAGAGAAAAAGAATTGACACTGCATATCTGCCTGGAAAATGATGGGATTTGAAAAGAATTAAAACCAATAGGTTTGGTATGAGTTTGTTTAATCGTGATGATCGTTGAATATTTTCCCAACTAAATTACATGGTGAGTATAGACCGTGCAAAATTTTGAAAACTAATAAGAGCAAATATCTCCTCCCAGGATTATTCTATTGAAGAAAAAACAATTGTCACATCTGAAGTTTTGCAAAATCTCGTCGTGATATTCTTCATTTTTTTTTGTCGTCATTATTTGATAATTTAACCGCTGTTGTATACTTAAACTTCGTCGAGCTGTAGCATATTCATGAATTACTTAATCGAAAAAACAAAAAACATCACAGTTAGAAAGATGAAATATCTTCTCGTGATTTTTCTCCTTTTTATCATTTGGCGTTCAATGCATGAAATATTCAATGCTGATTTTTCGAAGGACATTTGACATCGGATATGTTCTTAAATAATTAGTGGATTTTGAAAGAAAAGAAATGAATTTCGTGATCCATTGAAATCTCAACGTGACAATTTTTTAAATCTGCTTTCTTTCATGTCAGTCATAGAAAACATTAAAATTGTAATAAAAGTTGACTTCAACAAAGCATATCTGCGATAAAATCAGTAATATGAAACGAAAAAAAAATCCCAGAGCTTACATTTGATGCAATTTAGGGGAGGGTGGGGAATTTGGACACCAGATTTAAATAATGAGTTGAATTGGATCAGATCTACTCTTTCGACTTCATTTGAAGTTTATAAAAACGAACACATTGTCATAAGACTGCGTCGTAGGAGTTGTGAGGTAAAGCAACAAACGGGGTAAAATGGACACTTCGATTTCTTTCTCAATTTTTTATGTTTCAATAGTGTTATTAAATTTCTGAAATACTACTCATAACTGCGATTTTCAAATTAAAAAAAAAACTCATTTTTGACTTTTGTCGTGGGGGGTCGTGAACTAAGTTTTTCTTTGCTCATTCATCCTTCCCTACTCCCATTGTTTTATGGTGATTTTTTTTAAAGTAGAAAAGTAGCCATGTTACAAATTTCGTAAACAGACAAAAAGTCAATTGTGTAGGACGTGCAATTGTTCATTGAAAGAAACAAATAATTAAATAAATAATAAAAATACTACAAAATGGCGTTGATTGACCTTGATGATACACGATATGAAGTGAATTTAAATATATACTTATATGTTACATATTTTTCGATACACAATCCAAGTCGTATTTGGGTGTTTTAACCAAATTTGTGGAAGGTCGAGAAGAAAAGATTAAAAATAGAATAGATCCAGGATGAACTTGTGTTACGGCTCAAAATACTTGTTTTGATTACTAGAGTTACTGGGAAAAAGACGAGAAAAATAAAAGGTGGCATCCATAAGTAAAAGATCCGTGAGCGTTACCAGGCTTTTTTCTTTGGTTTCTATGCTCAAGTTCTTTTTCCTTCTCTATGAACCATGTATATAGTACAATCTTTGGAAAGCTCATTAAATGAGTTCCAAAGTGACGTCTGTTTCATCCAATTCTGACAATTTTTCATTGAGTTATGAGAGTTTTAAGCGATAAGTGAATTTTCATGTTTCACTTGAAAAATTAACTTCGGATAGATTTTTCGATACTTTCAAGTGGCTTACACAAAGATATTTATACATCATTTTGAAGAACATGTACTGTTTTTCGAAATGGTGTATTAAAAATGCGATTTAATTGGATTTTCATCAATTTATTATAGTTTTTTTCCATTTTTTATGTTTTGTCACACCTAAAAAATGATAGTTTTTGTAATTTATCAAGGGTTTATACTTAATCAGCGGGGATATATCATGCATCAATTCGAAGGTTTCATCGGGATCTTCAAATTGATACCTCATATTATTGATTCCAACCATTAGATCAATTGTTACAAGCGATAATGCATCGATTTTGGCATGTCACGTTTTGAAAATTTCCATTTTTTTTTCTATAAACGATGATATTTTCTGGTTTTTTCTTCAAGTTTGTGGGAATATGTTATATATAATTCAAAAAACATTAAATTGCCTTCAAATTGACCCCTGAACTATTTAATTACAGCCAAGTTTGATCAACTTATAGGAGATTTTATCTAAGAATTGAATTTCTTGATTTTTTTCTGAATTCAGATTAGTTCGCATTTTTCAATCACTATCGTTGAAGTAAAGTGAAGAATTCGTACATCATTTTGAAGAGTATTGTTAGTTCTTCAAAATGGTACATAAAAAATCTGATTTCGTGGAATTTTCATCCAATTATGGTAGGTTGTTTCTATTTTTTACTTCATGTCACACTTAAAAAATCATAGTTTCTGACAAAAAATGATGCTTTGGACTTCACCAGCGGGGATGTATTATATACTAATTTGAAGATCTTATCGAGATCTTGCAATTAATACCGTGTTTTATCCATTCCATCCAATAGATAAATTCTGATAAGCAATAATAATTTGATTTTGGGATATCACGCTGCGAAAATTCAAATTTTTTCCTCTTCATGAGGAAAATTTCCTCGGTTATTGTCCAAATCTGTGTAAGTACCTAATGCTTAAATATGGAAATATCACATTTACGTTCAAAAAATTGACACCAAACTGATGCCCCATTAAAAATGCATTGATATTTTCCATTTTTCGAAATCATTTATTGCTAATGATGAAGCTTTCGATTCGATCCGTCAATTTGTATGACGAATCGATTTGAACATTCTTATCATTTGTGAAGTTGTCAGGAGAATGAAGTGAAGTTTCTGTTTAAAGTTGGTTTATAGTTGGTTAATTTATTGTCATAATAATTATAATTATTTCTGATATAAATATTAAAACATGATTGAAATATAATAAAAAAATTGACATAATGTAGGATCACGTAGTTCGTAAGTCGGGGAATTTATAATTTATGAAAATGACGACAAATATCAATTTCATGCAAACTAGGTAGCGCGCGCCAAGCGCGCGATCTGCCTTGTAATTTAAAAAATCCAAGTTTTTCATTTTTTTTTGAAAATTCGGTATTATGACCACCTAGGAATTGAAGAAAAAATGACCCACAATTTTCTTATAGATGATAGAAAAATGGAATTTTTTGAACCGTCATCAATTAAAATCGGTTAAATAGAACCCGAGTTATTGAAAAAAAAAAGAAAAAAAAATCATATCTCGGAAATGAGCTGTCGAAAAAATCTGAAAAAAATGAGCCGCCCAATCGTAAACTAATTTGGCACGGAATACCTCATATGTTTGCACTATTTTTTAGCAGAATCTGTGTTTTATGTGCTCTGTTTGTTGGTTGCATTAAAAGTAGCTCTACCCTTCGCTCGGGCTACGCTGTACTTTTGGATATTTTCAGTTTTTAAATTTTTTAACTAAATTGCATGGAAAAAATTTGAGAAAATTCATACCCAATCAGTATTATCTAAATTAAATTTCGCAAAAATATTGATATTTTTTCGAACATTTCCCCCTTATAAATAAATAATAAAACTTGTTTGCAAAACGGTGGATTATTTTTTATGAGGTATTAAAAAAATTCTTGATTTTTTCACTTCTAATGAAAAAAAATTCAGATTTTAATCTTTGATTACAATGGAAATGTTGATTTTCACATAAGACACTGGGTTAAATCCTGATTTTTAAACATTTTTTCTTTGAAAAACTAAAACGATAATTACATTGAGAAAAAAATTAGAATTCCGAATCTAATCGAGTTTTTTGCAATTTTCAATAATCTTTGAATTTACCGTAAGGGTAGAGCTACTTTAAGTTAATACCTGAACCAAAAAATTTTGTATTTATTTATTGTTATTGTTATGTGTTGAAGTATAGAGTTAAAAATAGGTGCGCATGTCAGGGACTAAATCATGAAAAAATTAATTTCACATTTCTAGGGAGATCTTGGCTGGCAGACCCGAGGAGCAATGGTAGGTCCTTTCCAAGACGCAGCATTCGTCCTACCAATCTCCAACCTCGGCAATCCAATCTACACCGATCCCCCAGTAAAAACGAAATTCGGATACCACATTATCATGGTAGAAGGTAAAAAATGATCACAAGAATAGTACACACCAAATCCCCAATATTCTGTAAATACTTTTTTATTATCATCATACACAAATAAAATTTATCGAATAAAAGAAATGATTTCTCATTCTTTATGAAAATTCTTAAATAAAAATAACAGTGAAGTACTGATGAAAAACGATATCAAAGAGAAAAAAGAATTTTCTGGTTCTCGAATTTCTCTCGAAATTAATTGACAGTGAGGGAAGCTTTGAATGATCGCAATAAATATACTGTCTATACAAGTTACTCAGTCGCTTATGAATAGCCGCCATTGAAATTATTCGCTCCTAAATGTAGAGATGAGTTCAGTAGCGAATCCATAAAACCAGATCGGCCAACTCAGCTTCAGAATTAGTTTTTCTTAAACACCTTCGACCCGAACGAGAAGAAAAATCTTCGTAAAGAGCTTTTTGTAGCCGAAATTTTGCTCCAAAAAAACGTTTTCGCAAAAAGGTATTCAGCGAAGACTTAAATCTCAAAATTAACTCATCTCTCTTGCTCCACCCTTCGTCACTCACGTAATTTAACAACCATTATCCAAAGTTGTTCTTCTTAAAGAAAACGAAACTTAGAAAAGAAAAAAGAAATGAGGGGAGGCAGTTGAAAGTTGATGAATAATTATCCGAAAATTGTTGTTCGAAAAATGAGAAAGTGAAAAGAATTAATGAAAAAATATTTTGCACGCGAGCGACGAGGGATTAATCACCCCTCAAATGACCTTTTGTTTTTACCTCTTCACCACTGATTAAATATATTAAACACGAATATTTGGATTGGTGAAGCGAACGTATTTGAGTAGAGAGTCGTTTTCCTCGCAGACCCACGGTTTCTTGTGGTGGCAGGCGACATCATGCCAGTTGACGCCGTCATTATAGAACTGATTGAGAACAGCCAGACAATTCTCAGGTGCTCCTCCCTGAATAGCCTCGCGGTTATCAGGCTGGGGTTTGCCAATGCCACCGCTCTCCGACCAATCGTTTTGGTTACGATCAGTTGTAGGGGCGAGTTTCTGTAGTTCAGCTGTCCAGAACCATCCGTTGATGTTGAGGGGCTGCAGATCGGGTCTGTCGCATCCCTTGAAGTCGCAGAGACGTCCGGACGTCCAGATGTACTTGACGTTGTTTTGAACGAGACGACTCTTGATGAATTCGTTCTCGGCGGAGGTCTCGAGGGAGACGAGGTCCATGCACCGCTTTCTGCAGAAGTTTCTGCCTGAGATCCAGTCGATTTCTTGACCTACGGTCCTTGGATCCGCCCAGGAGTAGTAGTAACCCTTGCCGTTGAAGCGTTCGTGGATGGTTCCTTAAAACGGAATTATGGGTTTTAATATTAATACATTGCGGGAAAAGATTTCAGTAGTGAAGTGGTAAACGGAGATAAGTCGACTTATCTCCAATGGAGTTTTTGAGGAATATTTCCGAATCTAAGGGAGATAGCGAAATTTTAGTAATCACATTTGTTTGAGATTGATGCTAAAAATTTAGGTGGGTTGGTGAAAAGTGATTTGAAAAAGGTGTGAAAATTAAGAACAGGCGATTTTCTAAAAACCCACTGGTGATGTACTTTATTTGTGGTGTAAACCACGCGTCTAGAAATTTTAGACGAGTACACTGTTCGTTGAATTGTCTCAATTTAAATTCGATAATTGTCTCTTCACTGCACTTGATAAGTCTGTTGATAATTCACTTCATAATAGTCTCAAAATGATTGATAATTGACTCGAAATTAATAGATGATTGACTCGAATAGAGACGCTACTAGGAGCGTTAACTCGGTATCTCACGGTGATATGTATTCGGTAATGTACTCGATAGAGCGATTGCGACAATACTTGACTGTACAGAGATAGAGACGATACGATACTGAACTCGATGGGTGATTTACTTCGTGATCTGACTGTGAACCCGAAGGGTCTCGAGGTCGTTCGAGAATTTTCGTTGAGCCCGGTGCCATTAGATAGGGAACTATTGCTGTTTTAAGCACACATTTGTTATAGCACTCAATCGGCTCCACAAAAAAAGTTATTACAAAAAATTTGCCATCTCCCTTAGATTCCGAGATATTGATTGAAAACTGGTCAATAGTCAAAATTGACTTATCTCCTTTTACCACTTCGCTACTGATTTGTTCTGGCGAAAAATTATATGTTCCACGTGAGAATATTTGATGGAGTGGAACAGATTTACTTAACCCTAGTCTGGTCACCTGACGGGAAAATGCGACTTTAGTCACCTTCGCGGGAGAGTGCCGCCGTGTTATTTAGGCTCCAGCGTTGCCGAATCCACTCTACACTTCCCGGGCGCGTTTAGCGAGTTCCCAGCAACGTCGCGCAACAGGCAATTTCATTTAACACGGAAAAAAATTGTTCACTTGTTGGAAATAATTTTTTTTCTCCCAGAATTAAGGATACAATATTGAAAAAATACTAGAATTTTCCAGATACTTCAATTGATGAATTCAATTTTTCTCAAATTTTTCCGGTCAACCAGTCGATGGCAAGGGGAATAAAACGACGTGTTGCGGCAATTCTCTCGCATGGTGACCAGTCTAGGGTTAAGGGATTTCATCTCTGAAACAGCAGGGGTACAAGCCTATTCGACAGAAGACATGTGACCGTTACTTTTTGCGTTCTTAGTCTATTTTTTTTTCTATCAATTCCATTGGTAATAAGCTTTCGCGTGAATTTGTAGCAATTTCCTGTCCTTATGGCAGGCATACAATAGCAACCCCGTATGCTACAGACTGTCTGCAGGAAGATATTCAATGTTTTAATCGGGTTGGAACAGCGCGCCAAAGTTGAGCTCAATAATAGCTACAATGAACCAAAATTTCAGATTTTTATCTACAAATTACCACGTTTTCATCTTGAATTTTCTAAAAATTAATCACCAAAAATCCAAGTGTCGGATACATACATACAGACATGATCATAAAAATATCATTTCTTCACGTTTCATAACATTCTAGACTATTTGCAATCAAAACTAGAAAAACAGAAAATCGATCAGGGCTTCCATTCGGAAGCAAGCAAATTATGATATTGAATCAAAATTTTTATACGATGCTTATCATAGTTGTCAGGTAATGTCTCAATTTTTTTCGAATTTTTCTAGTTTTCGTTTACAATTTATGAACATCTATTTTAGTTTCTCATATATGGGCTTTTATGGAGAGTTTTCTGTTGAGCGCGAAAGTGCGTTGCCATGTAAACTGATAATATAGTTTCATGCTAATTTGAAAAATCGTTATAAGGGTCCACGTATAAGGAAATAAATTAGTTGTTAATAACTTGTAAACGCAGTGATAACTTGTAAATGAAATTGAAAAGCCTTGACTCATCTTACAACTCTGCTATTGTATCTGGAGACCTTAAGTTTCGATGTATGATTGTAATTTCTGATTTGGGACAGTATGGAATCAGTTGAGGATCTTCGACCACACAATACATCTGTAAATCAATTTCCGTCCTTTCTTTTCCACATCGACATTAATTGCTCTAACATCCTCCATTACTACAAATTTATTACCTAAGAAGTTTAATTTACGACAGAGGGATTAAATCGTCGACTCCAAGGACTTTCACTACAATAGCCTATGAACCCTACATCCCTAAATCTTGATGGATATCACAGATAATAAATTTTCTAATTCTCCTAATCACGTATCTCCACGTGTTCATGAAGGAAATAAACAAGCAGGGGTAGAACTCCTATCCGACAGAAGGCAAATGACCATTACTTTTTTTCTTATTATACTTTTCTCCTTTTTTTTCTACCAATTTCATTGGTAGTAAGCTTCCGAAGGGAAGTATATGGAAATATAAACGACCGTTTCATTCATCACCATTCAATGACATTCACCAACGAAATCCAATATTGAATCAACAATCTTTTATTGTCAATTTCCACGTAGAGAATCCTTTCATTTTCTCACTTCCCTTGTCAATAAAAGTCTGTTGTTCTACTCTGATTCAATAGTTTCTTGTGATTTCATCTGTATCGCCCAAAACGTAGTAATTTCTGATGATGACGTTACTTCCCATTCAAATTCACAAAAGTAATCCTCATTCCAGATGGTATTCCATAGTGCCGATGCACCCATTTAAAGTACGGACCTTTGGTATTATGAGAGAGATATATATACCATATTTCAACTTAATATCGTTTTTCCGTCACAAGTTATCAAGCGCACAAGAATGAGAAAACAAAAAAAAAAAGAAAAACGAGAATATCCCCAAAAGTTTGTATGGACGGGTATATATATTTTCAATGATCTAGATAGTAGCGATCGAGACGGATATTTTGAAGAAAGAAAATTTTTAATCGGTCAAGTAGTTGACGAGATATTTGACAGAATAGATTTTCACAAAAAATTGAATATCTCGCGAACCGCTCGACCGATTGACCTAATCGAAAATACAAACCGTCTATGTTACAAAAGCTAGCAGCATACCGAATTTCAAGTCGCTAGCTCGTTTTTTCATCGACTTATCGTGCGTACAAGATTTTTTATGAAAAAACGGATAAACGGCAATATCTCCAAACTTTGCACAAATCGGTATACATGATATGAGTGATCTAGATAGAGGCCATCGAGATGAGTAGGTCGAAAAAAGAAATTGAAATCGGTGCAGTTGTTGGCGAGATATTGCGGAAAAACGAAATTTAAACAAGTGATTATATCTCGGGAACTACTTCACCGATCGAGCTGAAACGAAGCACCAAAGTGAGGCTCATTCATAGCTATCATGAGCCGAAATTTCAAATTTTTAGCTGCAAATTTCACCGTATTTACGTTGAATTTTCTAAAATTGAATCACCAAAAACCCGAATCTGCACACACATACATACAGACACCCCCCTAAAAACATCATTTCTTTACGTTTCATGACGTTATAGACCATTTGCAACCAAAATTAGAGAATCGAAAAATCGACCAAAAACAATGCTTCCCTTCGGAAGCAAAAACAAGTGGGAAATTGCTCTTGTATTGTATATAGTATAGTTATTTTTGCTAATAAATTAGCAATATGCTTCCAAATGTCTATTTTGCACATTATTTCCTCCTATCATGGATAATTCATTGCTTATTTCATTCTGTTAAATTGATAATATTTTGTTTTTAACTAATTTTGTCAGATTTTAAACTCAGCTGAATGTTATCAGCATCATTATTCTTTTTATCCCTTTTCTTCTATACAACCGATTGTCTTTTTACAGTTCTATCTCTCCCCTCAGCCCTTTGAAAAATATTATTAGAAATATTATATTTACACACACTTGAATGACTTTGAAACATCACATTTGAAGAAACCATCAGAAAGCTCACTTTCAGGGAAATACATGAAAACTTCGAAATTTTCAACAAACATAAAAATCAAATCAGCCAATATAGCTATCGTAATCATCTTTTAACTTCGACTTAATGACATTAGAACAAATATTTTGAGCTATGATTGAATTCATTTGAAGCATGATATCCAAAGATATCCCCGGAATTCTGATTTTCAAAAAATACAAAATTTTTGAAAATTTTGGAATAAATCAATGTAACGATTATTGCTATCGCCTTTATCTTCGAATTCGGTCAAAAGAACATCTAAACAAATTTTTAAAATCATGATTTAATCAATTCAGAACATTTTTTTTAGTTGTAAAAAAACAATTTTTGAACATTTTTTTTAATTTTAAAAATTAATAAATGAATTGAATTGTAATTAATTGCATTTTCGGACTTAATGTATCATAATGAGTCGATATAACCAGAGATAGGCATAATCATAAATTATCATTACCATTAATTGCATAAATACTCAATCAAGTAATAGAACTTAACAATTTTCAATTATTAAATTAATCAACAATTAAATATTTTAATTCCGAATGATTTTACCAATTAATGATCGAATTCAGAAGAATGACGATTATTTGATAATCTCTAATATTTTTTAGAAAATTTCCAATTATTTAGGGGACGGTGGGGCAAAATGAAACACGGGGCAAAATGAAACAGCAAGAAAATCTTGTGATCTAAGGGAGATAGAACGATTTTCATGAAAACCTTTTTTGTAGAGAATTTTACAAGCTACAAAAAAGGTCCTCTTCAAAAATGTCCTATCTCCTTTACATGACGAGATTTTCCCACTGTTTCATTTTGCCCTATGCTCCCCTACCTAATAGTTATTGAAAGAATTTAAATTCTCAATTATTTATTATTTTCTAAGTTCCAATGATAAACGAATGAATTCGGTTATGTTGGGGAAATAATTCTCTTAATATTTCTGGGATAATGATTGATGCCGATCACTGGATATAACACGAAAAATCCAAAACTAAAATTTTTAGGATTACAATGCTTCCATTCGGAAGGAAAAAAGCGTAAACACGTTCTTCTGATTTGCGAACGGAAGTCGAGTTAAACGGTTCCGGTTGATTCTGCCAAAACGGATTGACACCAATATGAAAGATGCCACAAGGTGAAACTCATGTAATGGTAAACCATTGCCCTGTGAAATTCCACGGCGGGGAAGGGGGGAAAGGGGCGACCCACCGTTTATATTCATCATGCTGGCTCGTGACCCACAACACTCGCGCGCTTGGGACGACCTAGACATTGGCACGGTATCCAATGAAATTCACGACCCACCCGTTTAAATGCTAATGATGACTTTCCCATATCCGCGTAGAGGTTTGTTTTCGTCATTCAAAACCATTTCGGCATTAGCAGGTACTTTCCATGCTAATCTGCCGAATTTTTTGGACCGTTAGAAATTTCTAACGATTATAATGGAGATTTTTTAATTTATGAATTATTTTTGATGGATTTTATATAGCTTCTATGGCTATTTTGTGTGTCGATTCGTTCTCTGTCGTGGGAATTCGTTAGATTTTTAGCTTTTTCGATAGTGTTTGTTTACATTTTACTTGATTTATTCTTTTTTTATTACTCCGTTACGTCCGTTTACTTCGGACGAGTAAAACCATGAAATTTTTAACTTGCCGACCCGAAGGAAGGAAGTTATTGTAATGACCCCGAAAATCGATTGTGGAAATTTCATGATTTCTCCACGTTTCATGACCCCTACAAACTCTCCCGACATTTTTTAGAGACTGATCTGCATGTGTGGATGAGTGTGTGTGTGTGACCAAAATTTTGTGCTGCGATTTCACTCGAACAAACGATGTGATTCAATTTTTTCCCCTAAGCGATGTTCCTCAGTGGTTCTTTCGGTTTTGTAAAAAATGAAACTTGTGAAAAAACGTCAAAAAGTGACTTTTTTTTTACAAATTCGATGATTCCTCTCAGAAAAACGATGAGACTGATTTCTTGTCATGATAATTGATGTAGATTTCTATGATTAAGACGAGTGAAATTGCAGCAAAATCGTCTCAGCGGTTTCGGAGTAATTCGAACATGAATTTTTGAAATTCGAAACCTTTCAAAGATTTTTCCATCTAGGTCAGTTTTTTTTATTATTATTTTTTAAATTCTATTTTTCTTTTCATTAAGAAAATCAAACGGAAAAACTTGGAAAATTTGAGCCGAGGAAATTCAATGGAAAATATCTCAATAGAGTAAGTTGTACAGACAAATCTCATTCTAATGAATGAAGGAAAGGCAATTGGTCGGGGAGTTATTGGTTCCATTTCATTTAATTTATTCATTTTTTATTACTTCGGTTTACTTCGGACGAATAAAACCATGAAATTTTTATTTTTTAAGATTATTTATGACTGTTCTCATTTTACTTTTGATGGGCGTTCTTCTTTCTCTTCCTCCTTATTTTTCATTGTTTGTTCAAGAATCAATGACGAGCGAAATAAATTTGGGAATGAATTTTTCGGATAAGGACTGGGCCTCGATTGCTATGCACAACAAAATATTTAGAAACCAGAATTGATTTTCAATAGTTGACCCCCCGGATGATTTGAAATTCTAGACACGATGTCCGTAACACTGGAGGTTGAATTCTACTTAGTGGATGTGAAAGTGTCAATGTCATTATTCGTGACCAGTTAATTCAATAGTTGAATATTTGTCAGTCGAAGAAACCTCGGGGATTCCACGCAGAGTTTGCCAACTTTCTAGATAAGCGGTTATTCGGTCTTTCGTGACTACAAGATACGGGTTTATCTAATTTGTTTGTTCGTTGTAGAATAGAGATGCTTGGCGTTTCTATCGTGAGAGATTGATACTTACTTTGGGCGCACAGTGGTGGAATCGGAGGCTCTAGAATTCTGCCTGAGGGCTGGGGCTGAAATTGAGCTGCGGCGAGTGTCGCCAATGCACCGAGGACGATTAATCGTAACATTTTTTTTCAGCTTCACCTGAAATTTTTCCAGATACACTGTTAGAAATTCTTTGCAATTCTACGGAAGATTATAGGAAATATCATAGATTATAAAAAATTTCATGGAACATTATATTATAGTAAATTTCATGAGAGTGACATTGAATTGGATTTAGGAAAAAAATAGCTATGAAATTTCAAGTTTTAAGTAGACTTCACGGAAATTCATGAGTTTTCGGTGGGAGTGAGATGTAAATTGCACAACTTGATTGAATTTTCAGTGGAACATGAATATTCAAAAACAAAATAACAAATTTTCAATTTTTCCCTGAATTCTCCTGATTCTTCTGAATTTTCACAGAATAATTGAACTGAAAAATTAAGTATTTTATTGATTTCCAGATCATTTGAACAGAAAATCAATGGAATATTTGATTCTTCAATGACAAGATTTCCGGAAATTTCAGTGGAACTTGAACACGATCGTAATTTCCGGAATTTGACACGGAAAATTCAGAAGAAAATTTTTAACAGTGTAGGTTCATTATACAATATTTCCACTGAAATTTCAGAAAATCTTGTCATTGAAAATGATATATTCCTTTGTTTTTCTCGTAATTTGATAAAGACTTCAATGGAAACTGTGAATTTTAGTTTAATTATTCACTGAAAATCAGAGAAATTCAGTTTTTTTACTACTGAATATTTAAGATGTGAAGTTTCAGTATTATTTCCACGTAAAACGGGTTGAATTCACTTAGAAATCTAGCGAATTGGCTAGAATATTCTATTAAAAAGTCTATCAATTCCTTGCCTATTCCATTGAAAAATTCCGCAGTTTTTCTGTTTTTTTTCAATAGAAAATGTTCAATTGAAACTGTCATAGCAAGTAATGATAGAACTCAATCTTTCTGTAGGAGAGGTTGGGGTAACATGGACACTTTTGACTGTTTTTCAAATGTTAATGACGGGTTGAAATGTTGATAAAATTCAATAATTTTCTCTTCATTGCAAAGAACAATTCTTTCCCTTTGTGATGAGCCTAAACTGAGCTGAATTGATAAATTTGTGTCTGAGTTATGAGTAATTAAAACAAAAGTCTAAAGTGTCCATTTTACCCCACTCTCCCCTACAACTCATTTTACTGAGATATTTTCTATAGAGATTTCGCAACAGAATTATCGGATGGGGATTATTATTGGATGGGAAATGTGTCCTGAGATGAATCAGAAATTACTTGGAGAAGATTATTCATTTGAAACAAAGAACAAAAAACTGTAGGTAAAAACTTTCATAATTCGGGTAGGAAAGATAAAGATCAATTTTACAGGCTGGAAAACGTATGCTGAGATAGTCTCGGTGATTTCGCGGGAACAAAAGGGATTGCGGAATTTTGTGACATTTTTTACAGAACTCGAATTTACTGCATAAAAATCTTTGAATAATTTTTTATATTTCCTTGTTTTATATATATAATGGAGATTGGGGAAGAATCGATTCTTTTCTTCTGAGTATTGATCACTCAGATAGAAATGTATTAATTGAACTCTATTCTCGTTAAGAAGGGAACGGAGAACTTGTTTCACCGAAACAAAAAACTCAATACTCAATATTGTGGGTTTCGTGTTTTCATTTCTAATGACGAAAGTGATTTTATTTCATGAAAAAGGCGATGCATTCAGGAAAACTTGAAGTGCCCATTTTTCCTCATTCTCCCTTACGCGAAATATTACGTTAGCAAATACTGTACACTGTTAAAATTTTTCGTCTGAATTTTCCGTGCCAATTTTCGGAAATTATTATCGGGTTCAAGTTCCACAGAAATTTCAGGAAATCTCGTCATTGAAAAATCAAATATTCCATTGATTTTCTGTTCAAGTGATTTAGAAATCAATAAAATAGTTGTTTTTTCAGTTCAATCATTCTGTGAAAATTCAAAAAAATTCAGGGAAAAATTGAAAATTCATGTAATTTTGTTTCTGAATATTTATGTTCCACTGAATAGTCATTCATGTCGTGAAATTTCCATCTCATTCCCAGTGAAAACTCATGAATTTCCGTGAATTCTCCTTGAACTTAAACTTTCATAACCATTTTTTCCCTAAATTCGATTCAATGTCACTTTCATGAGATTTACTATAGTATCCTCCATGAAATTTCAAAAAATTTCTAACAGTGTATTTCTTGGAATGAAAGATGTTATTGCGACTGGTATATTCATATTCTCAATTGGCAGAGCACCACTTCGGCAAACTGGAGATGTGGGATCATACCCCACCTGAGTTCGAGTCCGTGTGCCTCTGAATTTTTTAATTTGTGCATTGTTAATTATTTATTTCCCTCGTATAGAGGTTCGAAAAGTCGAAAGATAGCATGTAACATCCTGCTGTCCATGTAATTTGTACCTTAAAAACATCTAAGGTTTGACCGCGTAAAATAGCCCGAGGATAATACAGTGAATTTCTTGTTCTTCTCAACTACTTCATGATTTCGTGATCTTGTGGCTTCATGAGTTCAAGACTTTATGATACGATGTTCATAATAATTGAAAAATAAATGAGCGAACGGTTCGCTTGATTTTGCAAACGAAATTTCTTCGATTGTTCTCACGTTTTGTTTTTTTTTTTTTTAGAATGAAAAGTTCATTTTAGATCGACATCAGAAAATAAAATCTCAAATTTTCGAAATATTTACTATTAATTAGCGATTGGTGAATTATATAATTTACAAGCTGAACAAGATAACCATTTCGATGATGATGATCTAACGAACGGTACCCACTCGGTTTGTAGGTGCCTAACGATCAGATAGCGTGATGAGCGATATTGGTAGGGACCGTATACCGAAAACATTTCTCGGTCGAAGCCCCTGAACGACTTTCTTCAAAACCGGTTTATTACTGGCTTACTTCCCAATCGGGGTTGAAAACTTCAAAATTCTGGGGGAAATTTTCCTCTTATTCTCATCTCATCACTTCGAAAATTAACTCACGAATGGGTATTATAAAAAATAAAATTAATAGATGAAATTGGTCCACTGAGAGAAAAACGAACAAGTTCTCAAACAAGTCTTGCTTGGGCCAACAAAATCGCTAGTTGAAAATTACCAAAAAAATTATTATTTGGTTCGAATTCGAACGTGTCAAACATGAATAATTACTTTGCTTTTAACAATCACGAAATATTTGGCCCAACAGGCAGATTTTCGTACAAGATGGTGCCCTTTCAGGATAAAAATATCCTTTACTGAGGGAAGTTTATCAAGAAATATATTTTCTCCGTTACAAGATTGCTGCCATATCATTATTATTATTTCATTTAAGAATTTATTTTTTGTCTGTGATTATTGAATAGCTGAACAGACAAACTACTATCTCTCGTTTCATATGAAACGAGCATTTGCCGAGAGTAGAATACGTATGGGAGCATCAAATAACGAAGAAGTACACTGTTAAAATTTTTATCTGAAATTTCCGGTACACTTTTTGGAAATTTTTATCGAATTTATTACTACTAAAATTTTCAGAAAATTCAGAATTTCGTGGAAAAATCAAAGAGAACTATAAATTTCAGTTCCATTTTCCCAGAAAATGTGTAGAAAATCAGAAAATTTCAGTAAATATATTCTTGAATTTTCAGGACAGTGACACAAAGCGTTTTAGGGGGAAAAAATCAGGAAATTTCAGATTTCACTGAAAATTCAATGTAATTTGGCACTGAATATTCATATTAGATTGGAAATTCAAATCAATTAAGGAATTCTCGTCGTTGTACTGCTTAAAGTTCTAGAATTTTACGGAATTTTCAGTGAAACCTGGAATTTCATGATTTTTTCCCCTAAATCGCATTCAGTGTCACTGTCCTGAAAATTCGTAGTGTACTCCATAATATTTCATTTTTTTTATAACAATGTAGTGCTAGAAATTACATTTCTTGTTTGCACAGAGAAAACATTTTTTTGAAAAGACTAAATCTATTTTCACAATTAAAATTTTCAATCTCGATGCACGCATTTTTAACACAAAAAAATCTTTTTTTGATAATTTTCAACAAACTTTTCTTTTAGCACGAGTAAGACTTGTTTGAGAACTCTACCATTTCTTTGTGTGTAGTGAATCAACAGGTGGGATTTTTTCACTTTCCCAACTATAAAATCATCTCGATAATGATTGTTTTTCAGAGAAATGCCAATAAATAATTTCCATTCAATACTCCATAATTAAAAAAAATATCTTTTGACATTTCGCCCGCAATAGACAACTTTCCAGAATAATTACACTATCAACAAAAAGATGATGTTTCAATAAAAATTCGATTTTCTGATTAATTATTGTTTTGACTATCGATATTAATAGTAATATATTCACATTTTCGAAGGAGATTGTGGGAAAAATGATCAATGTCAACGAAGAGGTGATTCTGCAGAATTATTTTGTATGAAATACTGTTATTTAAAGATTACAATAAGAGTTAGAAAAAATCGATGAGTTAAAAGAACAAATGAATTCTGAGATGCTCACCTAAGAACGTTTACGGTAGAACTGCGACTCATCGTGCTGGGGCACCCCTATATATACACAATCTTCCGCAGCGAAGATACCCACGTTCCAGCAGCATTTTGGGGTGAGGCAAAACTGTGGTGCCTTATTCTCTTCGGTCCCCCGAAGACACCTGCTGCCAAAAATCAAGATAAATTTTTTCCTCATAAATTTCCCCTGAAACCCCGAATAACTCAATGCTGGATCGGCAACTCCCAACGGATTCTCCGTTTACCTGGAAAATGTTGTTTTTGAGTTTTTGCATTTTTGGTTTCCAGAGTCTCATGAAAATTTAAATTTTAAAAGTGAAACGTCGCGAATTCAGGGTAAGTTGAGTATTTTTATTCTTTTCGATTATCCTATGACCTAAACTCACGGAATTCAAAATCGTGGAAATGAACATGAGTGTTCACATCCGAGAGATTTCACCGAAGGTAAATCGTAGAGTTAAATTCTGAAAACATAAAATTTGTGCAGACAAAAGCTATTGCGTCAGTATAGGAAACAATTCAGTAGCGAAGTGGTAAAAGGAGATAAGTCAATTTTGACTATTGACCAGTTTTCAATGAATATCTCGGAATCTAAGGGAGATAGCAAAATATTTATCCAAAACTTTTTTGTAGAACCGATTGAGTGCTACAACAAATGCAATTACGAGAATTTCTCTATCTACTTTAGATTCGGAAATATTCCTCAAAAACTCAACTGGGAGATAAGTTGACTTATCTGCGTTTACCACTTCACTACTGAATTCAGTTATGAAGCGGTAAAACGGTTTGAGTTGATTTGAGTCGGAGATTTTTAAGGAATATCTCCCAATCTAAGGGAGATAACGAAAATTTCGTAATGACCTTTTTTGTAGAGCGAATTGAGGGCTACAAAAAAGGTCATGATAAAAATTTTGCTATCTCCCTTCGATTTCAAGATATTCATTAAAAACTGGCCAATAGTCAAAATCGTCTTAAACCGTTTTACCGATTCGCTACTGAATTCTGATAAATCAATATTATTAGTATTCGTGCTCATTAACAGCTTCTTGATAAATGTTATACAAATGTCTAAATTAAATGAAAAATAGAGGACAGGAGAGTACGTAACACCATAACAAATATAGAAAAACCAAATAAATATTAAAAAGTGCAAAAATGAACATGAAAGCAGGGGAAAAGGATAAGGAAAGTCATTCGATTTTTCACGAGCATTTCGGCATCACTTAGCGGTCAATTGTGACTGGAACATGGAGAGAAGAATTCCAGTATTACTTTATTTGTTTAACGTATCTCAAGCTGTTTCTGCTTGAGGAGCACGTGGACGTAAGAAAATACGATGACTTTCGCCGGAGTGTAGACTGAATTTAAAATGAGTTCTTTTTAAATTTGAAGGAATAACAAATATCATCGAGCAATCACGTAGGCCACTTTTTAATCCACGCCCAAAATCACGCAATCAATTTGAATAAATCTGCTCCCCAGTTCCTGCTTTGTACCATTCAAAATATGTGCATAGCTAATGCACATTAATATAAATAAATAATTTCTTTTGTGGTCAATAGATATTCAATATATTCACAGTATTATAAACGAAATATGAATAAGAACTTTTGCTGAGGGTTCAGGAGTTTCTTCACGTCTCAAAACTCCTGTACAATAAATAAGTTGATAAACAAGTTGATTCGATTTTTGCGCCAATTGAAGTCCGTACAAGTTTTTTAAGGAAAAACAAGTGGGAAATCGCTCTTGTATTGTATATGTTATAGTTATTTTTGCTAATAAATTAGCAATATGCTTCCAAACGGCTATTTTGTACATCATTACCTTCTATCATGTATAATTTATTGTTTATTCCATTTTATTAAATTGAATAATATTTTTACCTAATTTTGTCAGATTTTCAACTTAGTTGAATGTTATCAGCATCATTATTCTTTTTATCCTTTTTCTTCTGTACAACCGATTGTCTTTTTACAGTTCTATCTCTCCCCTCAGCCCTTCGATAAAATGTGAATAGAAAAATTTTATTTACACATACTTGAATGAATTTGAAACATCTCATTTGAAGGAACCATCAGAAAGCTCACTTTAATTAAATCAACCAATATAGCTAATCATCTTTCAACTTCGACTCAACGGTATTAAAACAAACATTTTAAGCTATGATTGAATTCATTTGAAGCACGATATTCAAAGATATCCGCGGAATTCTGATTTTCAAAAAATACAAAATTTTTGAAAATTTCCAATAATTCAAAATAACGATTATTGCTACCGCCTTCATCTTCGAACTTGGTCAAAGGGACATCCGAACAATTTTTTAAAAATATCATTCAATCAATTGAGAAATGTTTTTTTAATTATCGTGGGACAACCGATTTTCGAAAAATTCAAAAATTGAAAAAACTAATCGTTGAATTAAATTTTAATTAATACGGCTTGATAGGGCTCAACAATACTTATATTTGAAAAAAGAGATTCAATTTCATCCATTCATTAGCAAACAATTGAATTTTCGGACTTTTTGGGTCATAATGGGTCGACATAATATAAAAATCCAAAACTTAAATTTGAACGATTACAATGCTTCCATTCGGTAGCAAAAAAAAAGAAAAACGGGAATATCTCGAAAACTTTGTGAGAAAGGGTATTTATGTTTTGATTTATTTGGATAGAAGGCATCGAAACAAATATTTTGGAAAAAAAATCGATATCGAAAAAAAAATGCGAAAAACAATGTAAAAATGATGAATCGGTTTTTGACACAAACTATTGGACCGATCGGGTTAAAATTTTGCACAGAGTTAATTCTCATTAAGACGTATAATCTGACAAAATGTTAGATTTTTTGGAATTACTTTAACTTCTCAATTACTCGATTTTCTAAAAATTGAACAGCGGAAAGGTGGCGGTTGATATGTACAGACACGATCGCCAAACACAGTATTTTTATGTTTCAGACCATCTATATAATTTCCAATCAAATTTAGATGATGTGAGGATAAAACGATTACAATGCGGCCATTCGGAAGCAAAATACATAAATATTATGTACCTATCAACGTTCTTTGATTAACTATTCAGCTGAAGATTATTTATTCTGCTCTTCAATGACAACGAATTTTCATATTTTTCCCCAAGATGGCCATTAATCTTCCGCTTCTTCAATATTAAAAGAATTTCCAACTTTCATTGATCAAGGTTTAAATATACTAATCGAAATTTAAAAATAGTAAAATAATTGATAATCTAAATTCCCAATTGATGGTGAATTAAATATTCAAAAATATGGAACTATAAATTTTCTATTAAGTAGATAATACTAAATTTCTTTTTATGGGATTTCAGATTATCCAAATAATCGTTAATCTTCCTAACTCAACTTCTGACTATTTTAAATTTTGACTATTTAAATTGATGATTACTTCAATAATTAAAATTTAAGAGTGACATTAACTAATTGACTACTTAATAATTTCACAGTAATTATGATTTATGGATATGTCTATCCCTGATTTTTTCATAGTACAATAAATTTCAGGATTGAAGAAACATTTAATGAGCACGTATTTGTGTATAAAAATAATAGCATTTTATAACGCATTCGCTACCAAAGACTATTAAATTTCCAATACTTTCGCCTATTCTATTGAAATATCTCCCAACTCTTCTTCGTTTTTTAAAAAGAAAATTATTAATAGCAAATATCGTACGGAAAAAATCACTAGATATTTATCTTTTTATACAATTTTTTCTCACTGCATTGTCATTTTTTTATTAAAAATTTCAAGCAAAAGAACGTAGGAGGTACAAAATAATTTTTTTTTCATAGATACAATTTCAACAAAATAATTTGTATAGGAAAATCTATTTATTTAAATCTATTTATTTTTTCTGTACATATTTTCTGTTGAACATTTATATGAAAAAAAGAACTAATAGAATTTTCAATAGAAAAACTATAGAAATCCAATAGAATTTTCTAGAGAAGGGGCTAGGCTTTTTTATGATTTCGTTTTGTTCGTGATCACGCACGAAAAAATTTAATAGAAAAACCTATCGAATTCATTAGAAAATTCTATTGCATTTCTATTAAACTTTCTATTAGTTTTTGGCTGATTGTATTGACGTGTTCAATAGAAAACATTCAATAGAAAACGTCAACAGAATTCGATTTTTCTATATAACTTATTCTTTTCTTATATTTTCTATATAATTTGTTCGACTCAAATTTTCTGAGTTTTTTTCATTTTATTTTCCTTTTCTTCTCATCAAGAAAATCAAACGAAAAAACTTAGAAAATTTGAGCCGAGGAAATTCTATAGAAAATATCTCAATAGAATAAGTTATATAGAAAAATTGAATTCTATTACCTTTTTCGACTGAATATTTTCTATTGAACATTTCAATAAAATCGGCCAAAAACTAACAGAACAGTTTAATAGAAATTCAATAGAATGTTCTAACGAATTCGATAGGTTTTTCTATTAAATTTTTTCGTCCGCGGAGGGCTTCCCCTGAAGTCGAAACGTGGAATCGACAAGAATTCTCATTCACGTTCCACTTATGAAACTTGAAAATTGCTGAAGACCGGTTAGACCATTATGCTGTCATCTATTGAACATAAAGTACCTCGACACTCAACAAACGGTTTTTCATTCACAATATTAAGCCACTTGTTGCGTAAAGTCAGTGTACCACTAACTGAAATGAGGCGGATAATTATCAAAGGAAAAATTCATAATTAATAAAACCGATGGAGAAGACAATGTCCATTGTTACTGCGTAAACTGAATAACTCTTCCTCTAGTACCGTTAGAACGGTCTATGTGTTGAGCGAGTGATATCATATTTGTGGGGGCATGTGGGTCACCCAGAAATGTCACTCAATACAAAAACTACGATATAATCCCTCCAAAAATGTAATGGGAATAACAGCAATAGATTTCTAATAGAAATAAACTTATGAATATCAAGTTTAAGGCCCGGCTCCATTAAATTAATTAAATTGATTTTTTTGTTCGATTTTTATCTCGAAATTTCAACTCGATGCCCTGTTACTAAAGGACACCCGAAAATGCTGAATTTACATTGGAAAAAAGTTAAAAAATTTCTGAACATTTTGAAAGAGTGTTTTAATATTGAGAAATGATTCAATAAAGGAAATATGAATAATGTGTAATTACCGTGGCAAATGGCGACTGATACTTGCCATCATGGGTAGGAAAAATGAAATAATAAATCCTTTGGCACACCACAATAAGACGATTCTACGAGAAAAGGCTCTTTGAAAAAATTTGTAATATTTTTAAGAATTTTTTTATCACACTTTTACTATGAATTATTAATCACTTACATCAATCTCCTCCATTGATAATTGTATTGGCAATCAACTTTCACTTTTGTTGGAAATTGAAGACATAGGCAAATCGCTCTTTCTTCCTTTGTTGCGCCCCCGACAAAAGTGACAGTTCATGAACAATTGTCGATTGAGGAGATTGGTGTAAGTAATTAGTAGTTCATCGTAAAAAAGTGATTAAAAAAATCTTTAAAATATTACAAAATTTTTCAAAGATAATGTTTTCATAGATAATATTGTTAATAGTCCCCAGCTACTGAAAGTAGCCGTGCAACACAGTTTAGAAGATAATAAATAATGAAATGCGGGCTTCTAACACGCGAGGCATATAGTCCAAGCGTGGATTATGAGTCCTTCCAAACACGATTTTTCCGTCTTATGAGAAAATGGTTCTTACAATGTTTTTAAAAAAATAATCCGTGATAGTTTGATAAATTCTGAATACGGTGAGTTTTTTGTAAAATTTTGTACTACATAGTTTCTGCGATATTCAGCTCTAAAAAATGGAAATTTCGTGAAAATATTCCTTATTTGATTTTAAAAATTAATTAACAAACAATTTCTTACTTGATTTAAACAGTTACTGTTGCCTGCATCAACAACACGAGAATAGAAAAACTCAATAACTTATGAGACTGCAATAAATTAAGTTATGTAGAAAATAAAATTACTCTTTTAATGTCTCTATGTTATAAAAATCCAAATCAAAATCCAAGACTTCTGATGATGAAAATTTGGCACTTAAAATTAAGACTCCAAAATTAAGGATCACAAGGGTTAAAATAAGGGTCATGAGGGTTAAAATAATGTATCATGAGGATTAGGATAAGGGTCACGAGGGTCAAACTACGGCTCATGAGGATCAAAAGAAGGGACATGAGTGTCAGAATAAGAGTCACGAGGGTCAAAATAAGGGTCATGAGGATCAGAGTAAGTAGTCGCGAGGGTCAGAATAAGAGTCACGAGGGTGAGAATAAGCGTCAAGAGAGTCAGAATAAGGGTCCAAGGGTCACAAGGATCTGCTTAAGGCTCACAGGAGTCAGAGTAAGGGACCAAATAAAGGTTATGGGGGTCAAAAACCAAGGGTCAAAAAGTAAGGGTCACCGGGGTGACAATAAGGGTCACGAGGAGTATAATGAGGATCAGATTAAGAATCACAAACGTCAGATTAAGGGTCCAAATAAGGGTCATGAGGGTCAGAAACTAAGGGTCACAACAGTCAAAATAAAGTTCTTTATATATATATATATATATATATATGTGTATA